AGTTACTGGTTAAATCGTTCGAATTTTAGCCATCACGTTACATATTTGAATCTTACTCCACCTATTACAATTTGAGCAATCGGATAGTATTACTATTACTTAGCTCTTAACCATAAGTGAATCTTAAAGTTGAGTAAACAAATCTGTACTTGGTAAGTGAGTTACATCAAAGTGGATATCAACATGTATATACATCCTTAAAATTAATTACCATAATCAATAAATAATTACCAAGGTAACATAGATGTACAATTAAAGTGTTGATAAAATGTTATTTAGTTTCAATGATCGAATTAGAGAAAAAAAGTGTCTATAAGAGAAAACAAGTGAAAAATCAACATGATTTCCGATTTGGTGAAATTAAGATATCCGTTCTTAACATGTATGACGAAAAGAAATAAAAAAAAACCAAACATACAAATATTTATAGGGAATTAATTGATTAGAAGGGGTTTTGTGGAGATTTCAGTATTTTTAATAGTTGAAATTATTAGTCAATTGAAGCTAGACCACCATGAAAAACCTGGAAGAACAGGATGGCCGTTTCGTCCTATTATGGCTCAGTGGTTTATCGGTTAAGTGCTCTGACGCGAGACTGGTAGGTTCTCGGTTTGAATCTCGCGAGGCAGGATCGTGGATGCGCATTGCTGAGGAGTCCCGTAATAGGACGAAACGGCCTTAATGCACTACTTCCAGGTTTTCCATGGTAGTCTAGCTTCAATTGACTCATGATTTCAACCATGAAAAATTAATTGATTGCTAATAAGACATCTAGTAGACATTGTTAAAACATCCCTTAGATTTTCTGTAAACGTAAACGTTTCCCTATTATAATGGATGTCAAATAAATAGGTTTATCATGATTGTAAGTTTACTGGCATTTGCTTACTCTAATCTTCACTATACCCATAATCTGCATTACACAAAGACAATGTAATGAGTGTAGATTATTAAATTGTAAAGTAACATTTCAAATTTAAGATAAAGGTAGTCTTTTCAAATCAAAATTATTTCCAGTGAACGATACAGATAAGTTTGATATTAATCAATTAGGGTTTCATTAATTAAGGGTGTATTCGATGAATTTAAAACACTAAATGATACTTGAAGCTTAAAATTGGAAAACAGTTGTAGAGCAGTACTGTAGTTGACCATGTTTAAAAAGATATCCTGTTAATGAGTAACAAATAAGTCAGGGAACTAAAGTTTGTAGCTTTACACAGATTTTAAAAAAAGGTGGCCTCCAAATGCCCTGGTATGGCCGAGAGTAAGGAGAGTCCGCTCTCCCTCACGAAATACTATCACATGGTCACGCTTATATAGCCTCTGCCAGGGAAGTCCTACTCACTGCATTCTCGTGGCATTACTGTTGTTTACGGAATTGAGAGAATGAAAAGCGAATGTCCAGTACGTTAACCGGGTTGGTGGACACGGCGAGTCCACCAAGGGGGGGGCGTACGGGTTGGCTTCAGTATCCTGAGGGAATAAATGGAGTATGAATCAATTGTTGGTCACTGGCTATCATGGAACTGCATCTCCTTACGATGCTCCATGCCTTGTTGATCAGAACTTCAGATCAAAGGCTCCTGATGTGGCCCCCTAAGAAAACCACCTGCTTCAGTCTGGGCACCTGGGCAGTATCACAACCCTCACACAAATCAAACAGGATTTGTGAGGCGCATATGTATCTGGTGCTTCCTTGTACCAATATTTATGTGTTTAAATCAAATAATAAAATAAATGATGAGCAACTGTTTTAAACTTAAACACTCAGGCAGGTACAAAAAACAGCGGAAAAACTATCCATTTGATTAAAAAAAGTAGCACGACAAAGTTAAATAACAAAATTGCCAATGAACTTGTTACTCTTTAGGTGGCTAATATTATAAAGCCAGGTATCAGATACAAATGTACAAACGTATAAAAGGTTCAAATAATAGGAAGCTCGAGCATTACAATGATATGACGTAATAAAAACTACACAGTAAATTCATTTTGTGAGTTTTTATTTTACATTACGGACTGATCTTAGTTACATAATCATTGAAAAACCTGGAAGCAACATGCAGGTGCTTCGTCCTAGTATAAAACTCTATAGCAAAATAACTATTCAATCCAAGGAGTGATACTTGTCTCAATTCTGACTCATTTGAATTTTCCATAACCCTATACTTGTTATTACCATGTCCTCACTACCTTCAAAATGTAACACAGAGAGTTCTAGTGAGACGCCATGATCAGTAGAGTTTAATGTCTATCGGGGATGAGACAGTTATCCACTACAAGCAGTGGATGAAAACTGAACAATATAACGAATTGATCAAAGTTGACATTGTTGGATACTAGCTCAGTATTCTAGACGTTAAACGTTCGGCGTGAGACAACGAAATTTGAATTTTATTATTCATAAATTCTTCCTGGGATTTCATGAATCCATCTTAAAGAAAGTTCCAAACTCAAATGAATCAGCTATTCAGTACATCCTAGTTTAAAATGAATATCTAATTAACTTCAATCTGTTAATATAAACTACAGACATGGCAAATCTTTTTTCAATATTTAATTGACTAATGTCGTGACTTGATTCAATTTTCTACATGATCACGTTGAAAAAACAAAACAAGCAACATTCGTTGAGAAAGAATTTTCGAACACTAGACAAACCTTGATAACAAATTTTCTTAATGAGATTTAATTATTTTTCAATGGTGTGTGTAGTTTAACTTATTACATAACACAGAGGAGAAATTTAAAATATTTAATGAGATGAATAAGATGGTGGTTGGAGGTGGTCAACAGGAAACTCCGGACCCGGGTTTCGTGCTACTTGGCACTCGTCAGCAAGGTGTACCTGGATTCTTAAGGGAACTTGTGCTCCCTGACGGATTCGATCAGCTTCACAGTCAGAGATGTTACCACTGTGCTACTCGGGCCGCGGCCGACCGAATCCGTCAGGAAGCACCAGTTCCCTCAAGACTACAAGTACACCTAACTCACGAGTGCCAAGTAGCACGAAACTCGTGTCCAGGGTTTCCTGATGACCGCCTCCAACTACCATCTTATCTCAACACAGAACATGCAGTGTCGAGCCATCTAGACTAGTGGCCACATTGCAACTTGATCGATAGCATTCGATCAGCACTAAGAAGGACTTGACACGCATGACATTGATCCCCACCCAGTGATCAATCAATTGTAATGAGATGAATACATAGGAACAACTTGAGAAAGAACTTAAGAAGACAATTTGGTGAGTATATCTTTATAAGAATGGTGGTTTGCAGTGATTTTAATTATTGAATTCATGAGTTGATGTAAGCTTGACAGAAGGATCTGGGTTCGAGTCCCATATACGGAATAGTGGATGCGCACCGATGAGGAGTCCGATACCAGAACGAAACGGCCGTCCAGTGCTTCCAGTTGTGACCTAGCTTATATTGATCCATAAATTCGATTTCTGGAATAAATTTTTCTTATTGATATCATTTACAGTTGTGCATTAGAATTTACAGTGATTCAACGAAAAAGTATTGTAGACCTTACATCCCTAGATTGTTGTACAATCTCTATTGCGATACATGTGGTATAAGGAAGCTCTACGATATACTTTTATACTTTATTTTTGATAGCCTATCCATTTGTTAAACCATTATAAATTCCATTTTACAGCTTCAGCAAATAATAATGTCGTAAAAAGAAACTTATTTCTTATAAAATGTTTAACTTTTTTTTCTCAAAGATGCTTTCATTAGATTAAAGCAACATTCAGAACAACTTGAACTAATATCAAAACTAGTGTCTTGAATACAGTGGTCTTGAGCGACGTTAGAGGTATGAGGGCAGTTATCACTTCCCGGTCGTCCACACCGTGGAAGGGTTCTTTTAGAGGTACCGGAAAAGGAAATAGGGTCAGAAGTGGTCTTAATGACCTGAGAGCGTGACCGCAGTGCCCAAGGGACAACTGCTTGAGTCTTTTCTGTGGGGGATTTTTGACGTGTTAGCTCCGTTCATCAAAGGACCTTACCGCAGGAGACGGAAATCCGTGGGATAAGGCGGTGTGCAACGGTCGGGAAAACTAGTGTACTTTTAAGGCAAAATATTGTTAAAGTAAATTTCTTATCGGCTGTTCGATATCTTGTTACTAGAACAATATTTAGGAGCTAAATTAATCAATATTTATGAAACACAACGCATACTCAACAAGAAATGCTCTGTAACGACATTGTGTTTGTATATTTTAGTACCTAACAGGTTGTGAACAAGACTGGTTTTGTGAAATTTCATATGATGTGAACTTTTGAAAATGGTCTTAGCTCAGCTCTTATTAACAGCGTGTACTCGGGATCCGCGTAAATATGAGGAATCCAGGACATTCAGGTCTTAAGAGGAACGAGTTACGACTCTAGAATTAAGGTTATATCGAGGCAATACGCATAGTATGCATATGTCATTAAGAGACTGAACAATTGCAGTCCAAAACATCAATGGGAAGATTCAAACAAACAATACTAAATGAATTTAAACTTCACCCCATTGCACAAGCGAGTGACTATCAAGACTCAGTAGCTGAGTGGATAACGCGATGACATTTGAAACAAACGGTACTGGGTTCGAGTTCCAGAATGGACATCAACTCTGAGATGCAGGTACTTCCAGCTGACGAGTTCCAAATAGGACGAAACGCGTGTCAAACTGGATTCCACTGTTGGCCACTATCCATCTCTCCTTATAATGCTTGTGAATTAAGGCTATATCTAGGCAATACGCACAGTATGCATATATGCCGATAAGAGATTGACCAGTTGCAGTCCAAAACATCAATGGGAAGATTCAAACAAACAATACTAAGTGAAGACTGATTTTGTGAAATTTTATATGATATGGGCTTTTGAAAATGGTCTTCATTCAGCCCTGATTAACAGCATGTACTCAGGATCCGCCTAAATATGAGGAACTCATGATTTTCAAGTCTTTAGAGGAACGAGTCACAATATAGTAACTCAGATACAATTGAGTTTGTTTGCATCTTATTCAGCTAAGCCCTTTTGTTAACTTATTTAATCGACAGTCATTCATACAATAACAATCCATCTATACCATTGTGCTTTTATTATATACGCTTGAACATTGCTCACTGCCTACGCATATATTCATTCCGCTAGCATTATTATTAATCGCTTATTTGATCCGATGATTCATGCTTTTCCACTTATATATATGTACATCTTAATCCTGTTTACTGCACTTGCCCTGCTTGCTCTCTGCTCTGCTCTGTATTACGCTACACCGTACTGTACACGCTTACTCATTCATTCGGCTCTACGGCACTGCTTTTTCATGCTTGCTTGACGTACCTGTAATATTGGATAACTGTGTGTGGTTCAGTTATAAACGCGATCAACCCTTCTTATTCGTCTTCTGATTTATGCATTGTTAGGACGTTGTCGAGTAATGGTTATCAAGACGAACAATATACGAAACCTAGGGATTCAATCGAAAATCGACCACCACAACAACTCTAGATCATTATCTTAGTATCCAAAGTTTCAAATTTCCAACTACAATCAATACTGAAGAAAACTTTACAAATCAAAAAAACTTAACTAGAAGTAATAATCACTAAGAGAAAAATAATTTTTTCCATTTTTCCAAAAAAAAAGAGATCAATTAGGCATTATTAAACAATTTATGCACAAAGTAAAAACTAAATATGTTATATAATCAAAGAAAGAATAAGATAAACATCAACAAATGAGGAAAACACATTTGAATGGATCATTATGATCCTGATCTATTTCATAATATGAAGATGAAAAAGAAAAGAAGACATATAACCGGCAATATCAAAAGAACAAACAATGAAATGAACAAAATAAACCATAGAAGCAATAAATATAACTAAATAGAATGTTGATAATAAGTAGTAGTCAAATTAAGTAGTACATACATACAAACCAAAAGAAAACAATCTATGCCATAATTTATTAATACAATACATATATATATTACTAGAATAATGAATACGTTTAAGATATCTCTCTCTCATTGTATATAAACCAATGACCATAAAGAGAAAGAGTTGAAAACCGCATTCTATTTATTGATAAACAATTTGCCCATTTACACACAACATCAATATATGGGAGAAAGATAGAATTTATGAAGGAAACAAGAAAGAAGAAAACGCCATACAAGAAAAATCATCATCATCATCATCATCATTATGAGAATACAAACAATGAATGAATCGGAATCAAATATATATGCCTGTATAAGTAAAAGAAGGAATTGGAATGGAATGAGAATGGTAACCAGTAAACGTTTTAAAACATGAAGACAAGAAATAAAAGAGAAGCCGTGTAAATAAATACATTGTTCATTTCCTTCTTCTTCTTCTTCTTTTTTCTTGGTTCTTCCATCGAATGTTGTCAACTGATCAATGATATCCGGATAGGATTATTGACAGAAGTCAATAGAATAGTCTACATTATTTAGTGTTATATATAGTTTTGCTGATATATTTGTGTGTGTGCACGTGTGTGTGTGGAAATCTCCAAGTTATCTTTTTTTCCTTAATCCATAAAATAATTCCAGGAAATGAAGAATGAAATAGTGTAATAACTCAAAAAACAGAAATAATCGACTTCACAAATACACGGACATTAATCATAATACTCATTTTACGTAAACACAACATTGACAATAATTTTGCCCAAAATTTGGCAATGATAAAACAACAAAAAAAGAAAAAAAACAGAGAGGAAATAAGCAGAGAAGAAAAGTTATCGATAAGTATGAGAAGAACAAAGTAAGTAAGTAGGTAGGTAGGTAGGTGAGGTAAGTGAGTAAACAGTCTAAACAATCAATAAGATTATTATTATTATGAATAGTGGAAGTAATAAATAATTTATTGATATGGTATATATGTAGGGGGGAAATTTTTTGTCGGAGGGGGGGAATGATGGTAACCATAACAAACAAACATGTTAATTAATTTTAATAAGAGGAAGTTATAGATTATAATAGTAAATCAACTATGCTAAATTGTATTCATCTGTAACTATGATTGTATTGCACACATACATGAGCACACATTATGAATAATAGATGACTGTGACAAATACATCTACATTGGAAAGCATTAGAAAAGCATACAGACAACTATAGAATACTCTTTATTTTTTTATTGCCCCCCCCAAACATGATTGAGGTGTAGTTGATATGGTGATTATGATTAGAAAAAGAGAATAATAACTATGAACAGTGTTGAAGAAAGAAGAGAATGATTAAAATGAATGAATATGTATTTATCACAAAAAGAAAATCATGTGTCAAATGCATACTTCCCATTGTAATACAGCTGTATCTTTGCCCCCAGTAGATATTAGTCTAGATCCATCATATAAAAATGTTACATTTGTTACATGACTTGAATGACCATTATAAGCACGAAATTCGGCCTGAAACAGAAAATGATAAAGAGAGAGAGAGAGAGAGTAAATTGATTTTCTGAAGGTGACCAATATGAGTTTCTTTATGGGTTGACTTTTTTAACAAAAATTTAACATAGGCATTCATCTCATCTAAAACTGTATGATTTATTTAGTGGTCAGACAAATTGAAATTCGCAACAAATTCACAACTGCTTCAATATGTGAATCATAAAAGTATTCGGGTACACCGATGGTGATTAGAGTCAGATATCTCTATCAAAATTCTTTTATTTGGCGACACGTATATAGTCACTTACACGGAAGTTCTACTCACTAATTTCTCGCGACATCATTGTTGTCTGTGAAAATGAGAAAAAGGAAAGCGAATGTACGGCGCTTAAACAAGGTTTGTGGGTACACAGCATCCAACTGGAGGAGTTGGAAAACCCTGATTACGAACCAACACTAATGGTGTACATGAACTACGGGATTCTAGGGAAGCAAAAGAAGTGTGAACCTATTCTCGATTGCCAGATAACACAATCAAGAACCGATTAAAGTGGAAAGTTACAATCTATGCAGTAACGCATATAATAAATAAATCAATTAAGAGGCAAAACAACTTGGTTAAGTAATTACACAACTTGACATTGAGTAGTTATCAAAGTGCAGAACTAAGCGACAAAATACCCAACTACTTTAGTCTGGAGGATTAGGTAGTAGTAGTAGTAGTACTAGCCCTCGAAGTAGTAAAAGGTTACTTAAACGACATATTTAACTATTTACTACTTTGCAAAAAAATAATAAATATTATTATTACTTTCACTTCGTGGATTGGTTGAAGTTAGACATTAACACCGTCGGATGTCGGCCAGCTTAGTGGTCTATCGGTTAAGTGCTCGCGCGCGAGACTGGTAGGTCCTGGGTTGGAATCTTGCGAGTGCGGGGTCGTGGATGCGCATTGATGAGGAGTCCCACAATAGGACGAGTTGGCCGTCCAGTACTTCCAGGTTTTCGATGGTATCTAGCTTCAATTGACTCATGATTTCAACTATGAAAATACTTTCACTTTTACCTAGATAGCCAATAATACTTAACCAGTGATAAGATTTGAGTCAGATCCTTCCCAGTCTACGTGTAAATCTTTTTGATCTATAACTTCCACTATGTTTTGAATATAAAAAAGTTGGAAATACAAAACGATGATTTTCAGTTCAGTCAGTCAATCGTGAACAACATAAGGTCTGGTACATATGTACGTGCAACATTCCCTGAATGCCCTGGTACGGCCGAGAGTGGGGAGAGTCTGCTCTCCCTCTCGAAAGGCTCTCTCATGGCCACGCCAATATATAGACTCTCCCACGGAAGTCCTACTCACTGCATTCTCGTGGCACTACTGATATTTACGAAACTGACAGGACGAAAAGCGAATGTCCGGCGCTTTAACCGGGTTGGTGGATGTGGAGGATCCACCTAGGGGAGTTGGAAAACCCTGATTCCAAACCATTGGTGCACATGGGCTCCAGTATCCTGAAGGAACGAATGGCGTACGAACCAACTGTTGGACACCGGTTACCATGGGACTGCATCTCCTTACGATGCTCCACTACCTTGTGGATGAGATCTTTAGGTCAAAGGCTCCGGGTGTGACCCCTTAAGAAAACCACCTGCTTCATTCTGGGCACCTGGGCAGTATCTCAGCCTTCACACAAATCAAATGAGATTTGTGAGGCGCATATTTATCTTGTGATTCTTTGTATCAATATTTATGTGTTTAAATAAAAGAAAATAAAAAATAGTCCAAGTTCCAACATCATAAAAGTATATCAAGATGAATTTATCAAGAGGAACACCAAAGTAGTAGAAATAGTAGTGAAGTAAACGAGAACACCAGTGGGGACAATCGAATGCATTTGAACAAAAAATTATAGAACATTTTAGTAAAATATGAGAATCATACAGTAAAAACTTCATCTTCAAAATGTCAATCAATCGTATCAGACTTTATTGTTCCTTCATTTCCACATCAACCATTACCTGTACTCGTCCTCTTTTTTCGGTCTTCTTAACCCTCTGTCTCCAGGCTCTTCACTTTCATATGATGATTCATAATACTTATACCTGTCGACATCACTAGTACACACCACTGTAACAGCATCAGTAGTGGTAAGCAAGATTGGAGATCAACATTTTATGACTCGAACAGACAGAACGAATTCGTAAAATAGGAAATCTTAGAAATCATGACCTACAAAAGACATAATGAATTCATTAACACAAACAGGAACCCCCAAAGGCCTGATACGATCGAGGGTGTGGGGAGTCCTTTCTCCCTCTCGGCAAACGCTCTCAAATGGCTACCTGTATACAGCCACTAACAGAGAAGTACTAATCACTGCATTCTCACAGTATTACTAGTGTTTACGAAATTCAGAGGACCGAAAGAGAATGTTCGGCGTCTTAACACTGTTGGTGGATATGGAGGATCCGCCTACAGCAATTGGAAAATCCTCATTACAAATCAATGGTACACATAGGTTCCAGGATACTGAAGGAACAAATGATGTATGAACCTATTGTTGTTCACCGGTTACCATGAGATTACAACTCCTAAGGTTGTTCCACTGCCTTATGAATTAGACTCTAGATTAAAGGTCTGGGAAGTGGCTTTCTAAGAAAATTATCTGCTTCGGTTTTGGTACCCGGTCAGTATCCCAACTTTCACACAAATCGAATTATTTATGTGGTGCATATGTATTCAGTGTCTCCTTGTACCAATGTTTATGTGTTTAAATAAAATAGGATTCTAAATTATACTACACATGATTTCTAACCATTGTTTACGATATTTACGTGGACGACTCTAACCTGGTAGACTACACCTATCAATATGATCTAATCCAACAATCAACGAATCAATGAACTAACTTTAATTCTGTTATTTGAGAGCATTTTATTCATCAGCAGATTTAAATATCTTCAAATTCAATCCTATATATAGAACCCTGATCATATACCCTTTTGTTAACAAGTTAAAAACAAGTAAGATGACACAATTATGTTGAATTGGATTGGTTGGAGTTATATATAAACACTATGGGATGCCGGTTCAGTGCTCTGGCGCGAGACTGGTAGGTCCTGACTTCGAATCTCGCGAGGCGAGGTCGTGGATGCGCATTGCTAAGGAGTCCCACAATAGATTTTCCCTGATGGTCTAGCTTCAATTGACTAACGCTTTCAACTATGACAATTATGTTAATGTCTATCAATCAGCTCCTTTTAAAGGAATTCACTTTCAAAATACATTCAACGTACAAAAACATAATAACATGGAAACTGAAAGAATCAAGAAAGAAACCATTGATAATGTGAAAAAGGAAAGGGGATTCTATATAATAAACGTCAAATAATTCATAAACACAATGTATGTCATCTGATATTCATTTGTTCTTTATGAAATATTCATTAAAGTTGTATATTATAGCTAGACAAGTAAAACAAACATTCTATCAAAATGTCAAATAGGATACCATATATATGTGCATCAATATATACACATATAACCAATATGACAGAAATCAAATTAGACAGGGAAGAATAAATGCTTAGTAACTGCCAAGTATTATTTATGGATTATTATTATTATTATTATTACATATATTCCAATAGGGTAATAATCAAGTAACTAGATTATATACATGTTCGTATTCTTTTTATCATAAGCCTTCATTTCACCTATTAGCTATTATCATACTATTCACCGTTCTAAACTTATTCCTAATCTATTAGTTATAGTCTCTTACATTTACAGGCACTTTTGGTTTGATTTTACATAATTATTATTTTACAGTTCATGTTGTGATTGGGTCTGGTCTGCTTGTATATAAACCACGTATATCTGAAATATACGATTCATATAGTGGAGGCTGATATATGTGTTCTGGATTGAACGAGATGGGTTAAGCGAGCAGTTACAATGAAGAGGACTAATAAGGAATTGGAGTTGAGTCAGGGATGCTAGTGCTTGTTGATGCATCGTTGGTTTAGCACAAACACAAGGTCATAGACGTCTCATTCTCATTAGCGATGACGTAAAGTAATATTTAACGGGATATAGGACATAACAAATAGAATATCGGTTGATGTCAATAATGATGTAATTGGTTATGTCATAAATAAACAAATGAATGAATGGTCATGAATAACTTTTGTAGGCTGATTAGACACAATTCTACTTGAACAAGAAAACGGCTTTTTTGTTTAAAATAGAGGAAATGAGTAATGAGAGAATTTGAAATGTATTTATGGATGAGATTACAGTTTTGATTGTTGATTACACTTAATTTGTAATGAATTTATGTTGCTAATCTGTTGAAATCGATACACGCAATTCTAATGTTCCTGTCTACAGTAACAGACAAATCCAGTTCTAAACTCAATGTAATCACTGACATGTACACATTAGTAGATATATAGACCCTAAATGCTCTGGTACGGTCGAGGATGTGTAGAGTCCGCTTCTCCTAATCGGAAGTTCTATCCACAGTATTCTCGCGACATTACTATTGTTTACGAAAATGAGAAGATGGAAAGGGAATGTTCACCGCCTAAACAGGGTTCGTAGGTACTCAGTATCTATCTAGGCGAGTTAGAAAAACCTGATTACAAACTAGCGTACATGGGCTCCCACTTTGGTTTGGGCATCTGAGTAGTATTTCAGTCCATACAAGAACTTATTGTTAACTAATTTGTGAAGCGCATTTATGTTTTGGTGCCCCTTAGTACCATAAATATATAGTAATGAATATGAATAGTTATTTGATACCATTTCATCTGGCGGAAGATTGAAACGATCAGAAAACTTTGAATCGGAATTAAAACAAGATCATTGAACACATTATGGTGTGTTCTGACATAATAACTAAAAAGTAAGCCATGAATAACCAGTGAGCAAAGACATACATATTTAGTTATATGAAATATAAAAGACTGTCATTTATCTGTAATAATGATTCCATTCTTTTTTCATTTTCACTCTATTTATTGGCCATTTTCTATTATGTATTAGTAAATTGCCGTTCTAGTTTTTGTCTGGTTCTTGATCATTTATCGAATAGCTAACTTAAGTGTATCATGCACGTACATGAGATCAACTATCATGATCCATTAATCAAATGCCTAGTCTACTAAACTAGTGTCTAGACTAACTGATTTATCTAGAATCGTATTATAAATGTAGAATTGTGAACTATGAATCTTGTCTCTTATTGTTATAACATTTCCTCTCAATCATATGTAAGTTAATGGTAATGTATTATGCATAGCTGATTTTAAATTGACTTAATTCAAGTTATAATTCATAAAGATCATATCTTTTTGATAGACTAATATTTTTTTTATTTAAACATATAAATATTGGTACAAAGGGGCACCAGATATATATGCCACACACAAATCTTATTTCAGTTGTGTGAGGGCTGTGATAATGCCCACGTGCCCAAACTGAAGCAGGTGGTATTCTTAGGGGGACACACTCGGATCCACCGACCCGGTTAAAGCGCCGGATATTCGCTTTTCATCCTCTCAATTTCGTAGACAACAACCCCGCCACGAGAAGGCAGTGAGTGAGAATTCTCTGGTAGAGGCTATATATTCGCGTGGCCATGTGAGAGCATTTCGAGAGGGAGAACGGACTCTCCCCACTCTCGGCTGTACCAGAGAATTTAGGGGCAATATCAAGAGTCCATTGAATCTTATCCAGTTCAAATTCGTTTACCTATTTTTCCAACGTGTACTTCCTTTAAAATCGGAATATTTTAATATAAAAAAAAGAACCAAATATACATTTAGCATTTAAAATAAAAATCTTACCTTTGGTTTATTAGTTGGATATTTGAATAGTTTAACTTTTCCATAATCATCTCCAGTAGCTAATATATCAGCAGTTGGACTACGATCACAAGCATTAACATCAGTACCATCTGAATCAGATGGCCAAATTCCAGCTACTTCCCAACCAATTGTACATGTTTGACTAGCCCATTCTAAATCACGTAGTGTACTAGGTGAGACAACCTTGAAAATTAGAAATAGGAAAATACATTCACAATTATTATATTAAAAGAAAGAAATTTGTGATGTAAACATCTTATTATTCATCTCTTGGTCTATGAAAGTTGTTTAGTTACATTATCTTGATATATTAAGAGAGAAAGATATATGTACATAAGTGGGAAGAAAGTTACGGGGTAGTCAAATCAAGACGAAATGTCAGTTTATGGAGTCATCACTATTAGTTTAAGTTGTGTTGGTATATATTTATTTATTTTATCTAAATTCATGGATAGCAATAAATAAATATATACCAACACAACTTAGACTAATAATGATGACTCCATAAACTTACATTTCGTCTTGATTTGACTACCCCGTATTTTTCTTCCCACTCATGTACATATATATTTCTCAATCGCTGGTCGCCGGACACCATGGGACTGCATCACCTTACGATGCTCCACTACCTTATGGGCCAAATTTTTAGGTCAAAGGCTCGTGGTGTGGCCCCCTAAGAAAACCACTTGCTTCAATTTGGGCACGTGGGCAGTATCACAGCCCTCACACAAACCAAATGAGATTTGTGTGGCGTATATATATCTGGTGCTTCATAGTACCAATAATTATGTGTTTAAGTAAATAAAATAAAATTCATGGACATCTATCATGATGGAACCAATTATATATGCGCCACATAAATCATTCGATTTGTGTGAAAGTTGGGATACTGACCACGGTACCAAAACCGAAGCAGATAATTTTCTTAGAAGGCCACTTCCCAGACCTTTCCCATAGAGGTCTAATTCATAAGGCACTGGAACAACCTTAGGAGTTGTGACTAACAATAGGTTCATACATCATTTGTTCCTTTAGTATCCTTGAACCCATGTGCTCTATTTATTTGTAATCGAGATTTTCAAATTCCTCTAGGTGAATCCTCCATATCTATTAACACAGTTAAGGCACGAAACATTCCCTTTTGCTCCTCTGAATTTCGTAAACAACAGTAATACTGCGAGAATGCAATGAATAGGGCTTCTCTGTTAGTGGCTGTATACAGGTAGCCATGTGAGAGTGTTTCGAGAGTGAGAAGGTGAGAGAGAGTGGACTCTCCCCACCCTCAGCCATACTATGACATTTAAAGGCAATAGTATTTGGTTGGAGTTGAAGCGAAAATTCATTTCTTCTCTAAGTAGTTTCTCCACTTTTAATCTATTTTTTCTGGATATAACTGATATTATGACTTGGTATTTTGTTAATTTCATCTTATTATGTTTTTCTTTCAAATAAACTCTACAAATCGAATAAACACTGAAAATTGATAAGACATAATTAACAGTAACAATATGATCTTGTTATTATCAGAAGGGGTTTTGTGGAGATTTAGTATTTTCATAGTTGAAAGCGTGAATCAATTGAAACTAGACCACCATGGAAAACCTGGAAGCATTGGACGGCCGTTTTGTCCTGTTATGGAACTCCTCAACTATGGACTTTTCAACTGTGAAAATACTAAATCTCCACGAAACCCCTTCTGATGATAATAATAATAATAATCATATGGTCACTAATGACTGACTTCGAGAGGTAAATCCAGGAGTTCTAGTGAGAAGCAGTGACCAGTGGAGTACAAACTACGGCTGTTGTGAGATATCAACTCACTGAAGACAACTGGTGAACGGTTGCTCAACTTTGTGGATCAGTTGAAGTTAGACATTAACACTGCTGGATGTCGGTCAGCTTAGTGGTCTATCGGTTAAGTGCTCCGGCGTGAAGCTGGTAGGTCCTGGGTTCGAATCTTGCGGGTACGGGATCGTGAGTGCGCACTGATGAGGAGTCCCATAATAGGACGAAACTGCCGTCCAGTGCTTCCAGGTTTTCCATGGTGGTCTAGCTTCAATTGATTCATGATTTCAACCATGAAAATATGATCTTAGTTGAAGAATTGAATGTTGATCAGCATGAGTGGAATGATTTCAACGACACTATGTTTGTTCACCCTCAAGGTGGTTTATTTAATTTATGATATACTCAATTATCTGAGTTAGTTATGGGTAGTCGAGTGATATGAAAAATTACACAATATAAATACTATAATTGAAGTGAATTAAGTAGCCTAGTTGGAAACACCAATTGATTGTTTAATGCAAAATTTCAGAATGACTTTGTAAAACAGTGATAACCATACACTGAATACATTATTTGCATATCTTTCTTCAGTTGTCCTTGACATATTTCGTGTTTCTTGCAATTAAGTATTCATTATGATTTATTTCTGTTTCCTTTTCTGTTCTCTTCAATTATGGTAACTCAATCTTCTGCTGGAAGGCATTTAACTTCCCATTGGTATTACATACTATGATGTACGCTACTCATATCTGTCGACATACATATTATGTAATAAAAATCAGAAGTAGAAAAACTGGAAGCATAAGTCTAAGAAAAACGAGTTGAAGAGAATAGAAGGGAAAATAGCAATGAATTGTTAACTTGAAGAATCATACAGAATATGAAGGACAAACAATGGAAATTCGCAAATGAAGTGTGGTTAATATATTTCACCAAGATCCTGTGTAATGTTATGTTGAAATACAATTGGTTGTCCTCACTTGATTGTTCGTTCATTACAATACTACCAATATCTGTCAAGATATGTAGCATACACAACATACTTATGGTTAACTAAACTTGAAACAATCAAATTAATCATTTAGTATTGTCTGTTTGGATCTTCCCACTGATGTTTAGGACTGCAACTGGCCAGTCTCCTATTGGCATATGTGCATACTGTGAGCGTTGCCTCGATATAGCCTTAATTCACAAGCATTATAAACAAAGATGGATAGTGACTAACAGTGGAATCCAGGACGCGCGTTTCGTCCTATGTCGAGGCAATACGCACAGTATGCAATATGACAATTAGAGACTTACCAGTTGCAGTCCTAACACATCGATAGGAAAATTCAAACAAACAATACTAAATGAATTTAAACTTCACCCCATCGCACAAGCAAGTGGCTATCAATACTCAGTAGGCGAGTGGAGAACGCGATGGAGTTTGAAGCAAAAGATACTGGGTTGGAGTCACAGAGTGAACATCAATTCTGAGATGCAGTTACATGTAGCTGACGAGTCCCAAATAGGACGAAACGAGCGTCAAACTGGATTCCACTGCTAGTCACTATTCATCTTTGCTTACAATCAAATTAATCATTCATTTTAAATATTAATTTGATTATATACAATTAGTCTTATTCATCTTTAATCAGGCGATTTTACTTATACTCATTCATTATTATGGTATATTTTCTTAGTTAACAACACTTTTACGTCAGTAACAAATAAAGCATACAAAAATGCTTACTGAATAGATTTTTCTTGCAAATTTAGACTGTTTTGTTTTTTGGAAGCTACGACTTGTTGACTCATTTTCAGTTAATCTGAGTTAACGGGGTGAGAGAAGAATCTAGGACTTTATAGGGTATAAATTTTTCTGATTTTCGTTTCAACTTCAATTTACTTAACTTGCTTCTTAACAAAGTTTGAATGAAACAATAAACACTGAGGAATGCATTATTACAACAAGACTTGTATTCACTTTTTTATTGATTGTTTGAATCTTTCCATTGATGTTTAGGACTGTAATTGATGAGTCTCTTAATGGTATATGTGTATTTTATGTGGATTGCCTCGATATATTGCTTTAAGTCACAAGAATTATAAGCAGAGGTGATGAGGCAAATGACACTGAGTTCGAGTTCCATAATGAACATCAATTCTAGGATGCAGGTACATTCAGCTGACGAGTCCCGAATAGGACGAAACGCGCATCCTAGTTTTTACTACTAGCCATAATCCATCTCTGTTTATAAGACTTGTATTCATTAAATCATATGTCTTAAGTAACACTAAAAATGTGAACACTGATGATATCATCAAACAGTAAAAACCAAAGCAGAACAAGTAAAGCATGGATAAACTTCAACTGACCACTAGTTAACTATAAAATTTGCAATAACAAATAAGCGCTCTTTAATTCATTTCAAAGTATAATAATGAATACAACAGGTCACTTGTTAATAGACTTGTCTTAACTCATAACCGATAGCAATGCATTATGTCATGACAAAAAACCTAAATAAGTCATTTTAACACAAACCACAAATGCGCTGGTACGGCCAAGAGTGGGGAGAGTACGCTCTCCCTCTCCAAATGCTCTCACATGGCCACGCGTAGCCTCTGTCAGGGAAGTCCTACACACTACCTTCTCGCGGAGTTACTGTTGTTTACGAAATTGAGAGGACGAAAAGTGAATGTCCGGTGCTTTAACCGGGTTGGTGGACACGGAAAGTTCACCTAGGGGAGTTGGAAAACCTTGATTCCAAACTAATGGTGCACATGGGTTGGCTCCAGAATCCTGAGGAAACAAATGGCTAATGAACCTATTGTTGGTCACCGGCTACCATGGAACCGCATCTCCTTACAATGCTCTACTGCCTTGTGGGTTAGACCTTTAGGTCAAAGGCTCCGGGTGTGGACCCCTAGGAAAACCACTTGCTTCGGTTCAGGCACCTGGGCAGTATCACAACCCCCACACAAATCAAATGAGATTTGTGTGACGCATATATATCTGGTGCGCCCTTGTACCAATATTTATGTGTTTAAATAAATAAATTAATATATACAACCAGTTTAAAGTATACTTTACCGACGACTTTCATTGGCGCTAAAAATGACCTTACATAACATAAAGCTAATCGGAATGTAGATTGTAGAAATGGATAATTAATTAGATAAAAGCGTTAAAAACAAAGAAAAGGAATATAAGGTTAGTTTAAGTTAGAAAATTTACATTAGGTTCATGATGAACAGTTTAGACTACTAGAAGATAGTAGTGATAGTCTGAGAGAGAAAAAGTGAAAAAGAACTTTAACATCATACAATCTATTAGTAAAAGTATAATATGGAGACGAGTTAAGTTCTCTTGACAAACTATTCACTTGTAAAAGCTGTTCTCTGATTGGATGGAAATGGATTATAAAATTAGAGTGATTCTTTTTAAAGGAAACGCCCTCTATCATGGATTACGACTGTACAAATAATAAATACTCGCTTTATATTGTTTGTTTGCCAGATGCAAGTTCAAAATTGCGAACGAGATTGGAGTTTATCACTATCGAAAAACGTAAGTCTAAAGATTTTGAACGACATTAAAACATCAACAGCAACTTTGTATACTACTTAAATAGTAATAATCAAGGAGTGGATTTTCATTGTAATGAATGTAATAAAACATTCAGGTACAAATATGCCTTCAAATGACACTCGGAAGTTATTGATAATGACGTACGTTTTCTTAGTAAACAGTATGTGATAAACGTTTCACATCAAAAACCCGAACCAGGAACTATGAGGTTCCGTAAAATATTTTATTTGACCTTTCAAAGGGTTAGAGAAGACGGATAACCTAGATCAATAGGGATGTTCATTTTAGTCGAAGATTTTAATAGATTAATTCTGTAAAATCGATTGGCACTTTGTAATTTTATTGCTTCTAAATTGACTTAGAACTCGTTGGAAATTCATCCATTATCAAATACAACGACGTAAAAAACGAAATAACAATTGACTCATGATTTCAACTTTGAAAAATACTGAAATCTCCACAAAACCCCTTCTGATTATAATCATATGCTCACTAGTGACTGACTTCAAGATATATGTCCTAGAGTTCTAGTGGGAAGCAGTGACCAGTGGAGTTCAACCACGTTTGTTGGGAGATAACAACTCACTGAAGGCAATTGGTGAATGGTCGCTCATAATTCGTGGATCGGTTGAAGTTAGACATTAACACCGTTGCATGCCGACTCAGTGGTCTATCGGTTAAGGGCTCTAGCGCGAGACTGGTAGGTCCTGGATTCGAATCTCGTGAGTGCGGGATCGTGGATGCGCACTGCTGAGAAGTCCCGTAATAGGACGAAACTGCCGTCCAGTGCTTCCGGGTTTTCCCTGGTGTTCTAGCTTCAATTGACTCATGATTTCAACTTTGAGAAATAACAACTGATTAAATGATATGATTGGCTAAGTTTAAAAAAATGTGACATACTACTAAGCAGATCCACTTACTTGTCTACAATCAAATGCAGTCCAAAACAATATTTCATAATCACCTGATACAGAACGTATAAATCGACCATCTACAGACCAATCAATATGTAGGATAAAACTAGTATGACCGCAACATCGTCCAACACGATTATATTTGTAGCCACGTTCTAACACATTATATACATAAATAACATTATCGCGTGAACCAAGAGCTAAGTAATTCCCATCTAGAGAGAGAGGGAAAAATAGGGATGAAAAAACAATTGATCGGAAAAGCGCAACATACTATGGGAATTGAAGAAAACGAAACTCTGTGAGTAAAAGTGAGCTACTAAAGATGGATAAAAAAATTAAGTATTAAAAATGAAACAAAGATTACTTTATAGAGATCACCATGCAATTAAAGTCAGGAAACCATTGAAAATCATAAAGCACTGGGCAATTGTTTCGCCCTAGTGTGCAACCCCCACCATTGGGGACCCAAGACCCCACAACAGAAAATCTAAATGAAGACCATGGGTTCCAAGTGGCAGTGCTTAACTTCTAGTGGCTTACATATCTAACTTAAATCAATATGAAATCTTCTACAATCATCAATGATCGATAACTGCCTAATATCTGACATAGTTGAACACTACTGATCACGAATCTACACTAAAGCTCTAGAAATTTACCTCAAAGTTACTCAAAAGTGAGCAGATGATACTTTTTCAGTAAAGGGATCTCCAGAAGTTGGTGAATCTTATTGAGATTACGAGGATGGTTGCGCAACATTGTTTATTGATTGTAGTTAGACTTGTAAACTAGTAAATTATGACCCAATAGTTTAAAGATTGTGTACTCCCTTGCGAGTTCGAAGGTCTTGGGTAAGACCTCCTGAGGAGGAATTTTGGATGTACATATATGAGTAGTCCCCGTACTACAACGAAATAGCTGCCCAATCTTGGCCCATAATGGTTTTATAACTCAAATTGATTCGTGATTTCGATAACATTCAACAATTCATATAAACCATCTTACTGAAAATTCATTTTCTTTCACCTTAATCACAAAAGAATGAATGAATAGATCATTCATTATCAATATACTAATGAAATAATATTGAAATTAATGTTTACCATCTTCTTCATACAATGATGTTATTTTGTAATGAATAAAAACAAAATTGTGCGTTTTAAAAACAAAACAAAACACTTGACAAATAAGTATGTATACTTTAGATACCTTTTGTCAACTGATAGTTTCCTTCTTAGTTTACAGTCTTAAAACCAATGAAAGTATATATAAGATTATTGGATGAATATACTATTATTACAATTACTATCAAGTTATAGGTTTGTATAGTGTTGTATCCCGTAACTAGAGTACATTCTCCCTCTCTAAATGCTCTCACATGGCCACGCGTATACAGCATCTGCCAGGGAAGTCCTACTTACTGCATTCTCGTGGCAGGGGTGTAGTTTACGAAATTGGCAGGACCGAAAGCGAATGACCGGTGCTTTAACCAAGTTAGCAACTACGGAGGGTACACCTAGAGGAGTTGGAAAACCTTGATTCCAAACTAATGGTGCACATGGGCTGACTCGAGGATCCTGAAGGAACAAATGGCGTATGAAATGAATCAATCGTTGGTCACCGGCTACAATGGAGCTGCATCTCCTTACAATGCTATACTACCTTGTGAATCAGATCTTTAGGTTAAAAGCTTGGGGTGTGACCCTCTAAGAAAACCGCCTGCTTCAGTTTGAGCACCTGGGCAGTATCATAGCCATCACACAAATCAAATGAGATGTGTGTGGCGCATATGTATCTGGTTCCCCTTTGTATCAATATTTATGTCCTTAAATTAATAAATAAATTCAAGGTAGTTGAAGGTAATTGTAAGTTTGTCCTCAGAACTGAGAATGGAAAGATATCTGGTCAACTATTCATGAATATGATTATTGAAATAATCTCTCACTTTTTAAATCTAACGTCTTATACCAACCCTAATATTTTTGGAATTTTTGTGCAATACATTGTTCATTTGAATCACTAATCGCATCCTGAATATTTTATAAAATTAACTTCATCCTATCAAAGTCATTCTAAACATCGTTAAAGGTCTTAGTTTCTAGCAAGAATGAAAACTGACAGGGATGAAGCAGTTACCCACCGAAAACAATGGAAGATTGTCCCGTAATATCATGGATTGACTACTGTTAGATATTAACACCTTTGTATGCTGGCTCAGTGGTCTAAAGGTTAAGCGTTCTCGAGAGAAATCAAGTCCTGGATTCCAGTCGCGCATGCAAGATGTTGGATGTGCACTGCCGAGGAGTCCTATACTAGGATAAAACGGCCTTCCATTGCTTCCAGGTTATCAACAGTGGTCTAATTTATGTCGATTTATGATCTCAACGAAATAAAATATGAGGTTGGAGGAAAAAGTCTGTCAATTTTCTCGTCGACATAGTAGATAGTTCATGTGATGTCAAGTCATTCAGACGGGCAACTACACAGTAAACTGATTTGTGGAATTCGATTAGTATTAACTAAAGAACTAGATAAACATAACATTCGTCACTACTATGTAATGATGACAGAAACAGAGTCAACAATTGTTTAGTAAGTTTAACAAAGAAGTATTCAAAGATGAATGTATATAAGAACAAAAGAAATAAAACAGTAATAACAACATACCAGGTGAATATGCAACACATTCAATCTGTTCACCAAGTCCATCAGAATGTGCAGCAATTATTTCTTGTTTTAAACAATTGAATACTAACCAACGTCCTGTACTTGTACCTAATACTATTAATAAATCATGTGAATTCATCATTGATACATTGAAATCTAAATTATTTGTTTCATCAATTACATTATTACCATTAATATTACTATCATTATTATGATTATTAACTGGACTCATAGTTCCATTTGTTATTAAAACTGATTGAAGTGGATAGAATGCAGCACAATGTATAGCATCAGTGAATTCTTTTGACCAAATAGCTTGTTTTGATAATGAATCCCATAAAATTACTAAATGATCACGTCCACCAGTTATAAATTGATGAGCTTGTGGATGTTTAGCAAGACTCCAAAATTCTTCAGAATGACCAAACATTAAAGGACTTATTTCCATACCAGGACCAGCCTTTTTTTTAAAAAAAGAAGAAAATTCACATCATTAGAGACAATTAGATGAATTAAATGATTTGCATGCTGATCCAGTTAAGATTCATCTGCCTTCCTAACAGTTGACCGGACTCCATTATTCTAATGAGAAAACTCAATTGAGTACGAATGTTTAGAGTTGACAAAATCGAATAATCGTGCACACAAGTCAACCTGACTTTAGTGTCCAATTTATTTACTCCAGTGATATGCTTCGTTTGTACACCTTACTAACTAGTGGGTAAGTAATAGCGAGGTTAGACACAGGGTATTAGGGAATGATGGTAAATCAGTTGATGAGGTTATGAATCTTCATCGACTGAGATCGTTGGGCCACGTGTTACGTATGCCTGAACACCGACTACCACAACGCGCTATGCTGACTAGTATTGGCAATGGTTGGAAGAGAGTTAGAGGCGGTCAGACCAAAAAGTGTCATCAGTGCATGAAGTCACTAACTTCTAGTCTGAGCCGTGTTGGCAGATGCAGACTACCTGGTTGGGGTCCGTGTGACTATCGTAACCAATGGTTGGAGACGGTGGATGACATCGCTCAGAATCTATCACAATGGAGTAGGTGTATACACTATTTATCTTCCCTTAAACCTTGAGATTAAAAATGCTTCATGTCTTTCTTTCTTCTTGTACTATATCCTTATATACAACCTTTCTTTTATATACTACCACCACTAAATTAACTACTTCTATGAATCCGGTGTTCATCTTGTTGTGCTAACGAGGTATGGCAACTTGGACCGATGCATATATGTGCCTGGTCCCACGTTGTAGCTGACTGACTAACTGAGTGGGCTTGAGACATATGATATATTCAGTCTTTACAATATATAACAAAGGTACTTTTATCCAGCGTGTCATCAAACTTTGCCATTCAAAAAAATTCGGCAAACTGAAGTTTATGAACGAACTAAGCAAGTTTCAAGAAGAAATTTACTATTGTGTTATAGTTGATGTCATTTCGTGATGAAAACCCTAATAATTCATATATAAATGTTTGATATTTATATTCAAACTGTATTCTTCTCTCATCATAAGACCGTTTCACAGCGAAACAATGTTTTCTCATCGGTTAATATGCACTCCAAGGTCGTCCATACACAATAATTCCACTAAACGTTCATCTAACGATCGGTTAAAGTGAGAGTACGTTCAAAAATAATAGAAAAGTACTTATCATGAGGTACCAGAGACAGGAAAACAGAAGATTAGAATTTGGCACTCTTTGTGTTCCGCCAAATTCTAATCTTCTGAATTCTTCATGTCTTTATCTTTTTTCTCTTTCCAAATTTATTTCACTGGATTATACTCCTTCAATATCATCTTCAAACCCTTATCTTTCGCATTAATGCTTATACTCTTACTACTTTCACCACTATGGGATTTGAACCGACAACTGCATCTCTGTGCTAAAGTGATATGGCAACTCGAACTGATGTACGTACGTACAAAGTTCTACGTTGTGACTGACTGAAAACAGACAATATTCAATCCAACAATAATATTATAGCATATAATACCTGTAGTATCATATTTTTTGTTGTCCCAATAATTAATAATTCTCCAGGACCTTGTGTAATAGTTCTTACAGCACCATATAATTCAGTTAATTCTTCAGTACGACCAGTTGGATTAAGAGCTGCATCAAAAAATACTAAACGACGATCTTTCCCACCACCAGATATAAGATGTCCATTATTTGTTAAACATAATGAAAATATACCACCTTCATGTACACCTTGACATATTTGATTCACTGTATTTGTACCTAAATCATAATAATGATTATAAGGATAATAATTTGAAAATATTCAACAAAGAAGATTAGAAAGGCAGAGTAAAGAGTGATTCGGTTACTCAATCATCATATTGGATGATAAATATCTTATTTCGTGAACTCACTGAAATTGTAGACATCGACCAACAGATTTCGACTCAGTGTTTAAAATTCTCAGCCTTAATCTTATGTAAAATCATAGATGTGTACACCTGAGAAGTCCAGAAACATATACTGAATGTAGTTGGATGAAATCGGTAAACAATTTATTCATAAATAGGATGCAGCAATATAGCATCCATTACTCAACACAAACGATCGACTTCTACCCATAACCCATTCGTCTTACAGTGAGTCCATAAACGCCATCAGATGAAGTAGATGATGACTTCTCCAAAACAACTATATTTAGTACTGCCACTTTAAATCTACAAGCTAGGACCAATTCAATCCCTTCAAGATTGTAGTTTAACAAATTCTACATATTATCAAAGTCTACAAGGTATGTATATCATGTCAAGAGAATACAATACAAAAGAACTCATAAAACTGAGAAGTATGAAATAATTGTTGTCTTATGAGGTCCGATGAAACTATAACACGTAGGCTGCGACATTAAGTAAATATATAATTGACTTTTTCGAATAGTTTTTCTCGTCTGTGATTTCACAACTAACTATCGTTATTGTTTTGGTGTATATAAAGTGTAATATAGAGCTTGTAATGAAAACCTCAGAGAAAATTATATCACTGACTAATGGAACGGAAAAAATACTAGATATTGTACACATATTGATAATTGCGATGCGAATGCACTACTAAGTCACGAACATTTATCGGCGAGACCATTTCACGAACCAATCAGATTTAGGATAACAGGTTTTGACTTTTGATGCAAAATTCATTCATTCGGCTAAATAGCGTTTTGGCACTTTAGCTGAAGTCAGTTCGTGATGAAAACCTTAAATTTGATTCCTAAGCCTAACCATAAAATGAAAATCATAATTCTAATCCCTTACACTGCTATATAACCCTCAATTAGTCCTAGTTAGTAGGTGGACATTTTCAAGATCATTTCAGTGTTAGTTAAAGGTCGTCAATAAATTATAGTCTCACCCATTTATCCTATTCCAACTTGAACAATCCTTAAAATGATATTGAGAAAGTGAGTTAACATGTATATAACATTTTAACATGACTTCCAAGGTGATTTAAAGATGCTTAATATTTAAAATTAAGACACAAAAACATACTACATATCCACTATCCATCTTTGCTTATCATGCTTGTGAATCAAGGCTATATCGAGGCAATACGCACAGTATGCATATAAGCCAATTAAAGACTGACCAGTTGCAGTCCGAACACATCGATGGGAAGATTCAAACAAACAATACTAACTGAATTTATATCCATATGCATTTTATTTCTAAACATCAATTTAAATTTAAATTCCTGACCTGAACTCAAAATACAAACTTTGATCATGAATACATAACACTTGCAATCTGATTGGCTAAAATGTAACTTCATTTTCTTAAGATCATTTAAGAATCAATGAAGAAAGACAGTATAGTTATACTTTCTCCACTGAAAGTGTCATTTTTGGTGAACTCACACCTCCATGAAATATTCCTCATGTCATTAGTTTAAAAGATGTGAATATAATAGGGAAAGCTTCTGTCAGTGATGTCGAAAGATAATTATACCATTAGTTAATATATTTAGTTACTAGGTGAGAAACATTTACTAATTAATATTAAAATGGTATTTGGTTTTTAACGAATAGATATTTGTTATGTTGGGAAAAGAACAAATCGATTGTTTGATTTTGATTGGATCCTGTGTAACTAGGCTTTAATGATAGGAAAGCAGTTGTTGTATGATAAATATCTCTTTCTAGTCCGATAATCGATTAGCTCATTTCTATTTACATCGAAATCAGTGACATTCTATTTACCAACTGATTGGTCAAACAAGAGAGAGGGAAAAAATCATTCAATAGACTTATTTAAACGACGTAACAGCACGAAAATAAATAAAAAGTACGGTAACTTATACTCCATCGTCCAAAATCCTAAATTATTACCATGTTTAACAGAACTGCTTTGAAAACGAAACGTTCTAGTTACATTTAGGAAATACAAAAAAAAACGTCTAACAGCCATACCAAAGAATTTAACAATGAATAAAGAACTTTATTTTAATTACCTCGTTTCCATGCAATAATATTCCCAGCAGAATCACCAGTCAGTAGATCACCATTTTCAGCAAATGTTAAACAAAGTATAAATTTCGGTTTCTCGATTGGCTGTTTACCATTCTAAAATAATATGGACAGATAAGATAATTGATTTCTACATAAATAATTGAAAATAACTGAATAACTATTGAAAACCAATGAGCACTGAAGGTTGATACTACTTCTCTTAAAAAGAAGTGCAGCCACGACCATACATAGCGAATCCACGATGTGCAAGACGTGACGAAAACTATCGGAGAGACTATAATCTATGGACGGACCGATTCGACCAAACAAACTGACTCTTGAATCTTCGTATGAGATTCATTCATCCATATGGCAGAGGCGTAGATACACACTGTTTATAAGTATCATACTAAGAAGGAACAGTTGTTCAGTGCTTCTCGACTAGCGATGGATATCTAAACTAAACACTACATGATCTTAATATCAAGACAAAAAATATATCAACAAAACAATAATGTTATAGATGATAACATATACAGTGAATTCTACAAACTTTGTGTAAGGAAGGGAGTGCTTCAGTACACTAAGTGATAGTCAAAATCTGTGTCGACAAGTGAAAAACAAGAACTATGAAAGCAAAATATGTAAGCTACTACAAATAAAAATATATATATTGAATACGAAGGTGAAAATAATTATTTTCAGTGTCAAGAAATACAGTAACAGTGATAAAGGCATCAAATATCATAGATCAATGTTCATCTTTAGAACTACGATACAACAACAAAGTATTATTCCAGGTCATACATTACAAAATATTTGACGAGTTTTTGGTTACTGAATATTAGTAAGTAGTATAAAACAATATACAAAAGAAATAGCGTTGAGAAAAAATGAAGAGGAGGGGGTTTTGTGGACATTTCAGTATTTTTCATGATTGAAATCATGAGTCCATTGAAGCTAGACCATCATGGAAAACCTGGAAGCACTGCTTTAAGGCCGTTCCGTCTTATTGTGAGATTCCTCAGCAGTGCGCATCCACGATCCCGCCTTGCGAGATCCGAACCCAGGACCTACCATATTAGAACGAAACGGCCGTCCAGTACTTCCAGGTTTTCCATGGTGGTCTAGCTTCAATTGACTCATGATTTCAACCATGAAAAATAAAATGAAGGTGAAAAAAGTCAGACGAATTTTTAAAGAAAAACTAAATTGATTATATTTCATTATCAATTAGATAGTTACTAATAAAAAAATGTTTTTCTTATATTATATTTAATTAAATTTGCGACACATTGTTTACCTACATAAATACATACACACACATACACAATGGCATGGACGAAATTCATTCAGGTAGATTTAAACTGTTGCCATCTATGTTTTTTTTAATATTGCACAACACATAAGTAAACAAACAAACAAACAAGAACAAGATTGACTTCTGGACACAAGATGTAAACAAATAACTTTTATATATATGTATACGACAAATATACGTACCCATGAACAAAAATACTATAAGTAAGGTGAACTAACAATCAGAAACTCTTAACGTTGAATAATTTATGGTTATATAAATAATTTATATATACATATATAGAGACTAATAAGAACCTATACTCATTCCAAGATTTTCAAAGTTAATCAATCGGACAGAAAAGAGTGGAATACAATATGTAACGGAAATTAATGTATAAGAAGTGGGAAGTTGAGTGGGTAGAATTAGAAAACGATGAATGGGAATCAAGACATTGAGTTTAGATGAGAATGTAGTTGTGAATGTCATAGTCCTTCATCATAGAAAGCTAATTGAAGTGGGAATATTTTAGTGGTGGTTTATAGGACTAAAATGGTGTATGACGCTTATTTTAACTCCAGTTCCTTACAAATCACAGGTACGCTTTATTGATGAGTGAAAACTATCATGTAACCTAGGTCTAGAGTATCTTGTCAACCACCTCCAACCACCGAATACGTTAAATTGATAATCCCAGATTCAATTTATTAATTTGAGGTGATGATTATCTTGCTATCCAGAAGACTAGAAAGTATAGTAGTTGTTTGGTGTATTTTATTTTGAACTATATATTATTTAGTTATCTTGATCGAATTCGGAGTAACAGAAGTCAACATTTTAGAGTAAACTGTTTTAATCACTACAAAGGCCTGTCCCATAAACACTTAAAATTAGCAACTAGGTTTATTTAGTTTTATCTGTTGTATAATGGCAGTTAGTCTGCATACTAATCAATGATTGCCATCGAATTTCTTTATGCTGGTTTGATCACTAGCCTAAGTCACCAAATGCAGCTCTGTAAATGATAATTTTGTTATTTAAATATTTAATCATCATACAGCGAACAGATGAGATGATGTGCAACGAAAAAAGATGTGATATGGAGAAGCAGCTGAAGACCTTGACATTGGAGGACGGTCTTTAGCGGCCACCTTGAATATCTGAGCTGCTTGCTCTTCCCATCTAGATATTTCAACAAGTCGTCTGTTTTTGTTTGTTCTAACACATCATTATGTCCATAAATCGCATAACCTATTCAGGTGCGTTTATGTAAAGTTTAGGATCTTTCACTGCACCACGTACAAAAAATTACAATCAGAGACATCGTGGTGGATGACAAAATATGTATAGAAATAAATGAACATTACTCAAATGTCAATTCCTGAACTGCTAACATCTAAATGGCCGACCAATCAATATTTATCGTCAGGATCGATCAAAAAATAAGGAAATGAAACTTGTTCATTAAAACAAAAAATAAGCATGATTTTGTTACTATTGCCTATTTACTTACTTCAAATATTCCCATCTTTTTACTTAATGTACATCCATCGAATGTCCAAAATGCTAAATGACCTTTACCACCACTTACAAGTGTTGCATCATCTAATGGATGAAATTCAACAGCTGTTATAGGTTCTGTGGAACACTGAGGAGCAATTTTTTAAAAAAAGAAAAGAGAAAACTTCATTTATTAACAATTCAAAATAATGCATTTTATTTAAATTATTTTTATTTTATTGAAACACAAATATTGGTACAAGGGGGCACAAGATATACATGGGATACAAAAATCTCATTTCATTTGTGTGAGGGCTGTGATACTGCCCACGTGCACAAACTGAAGCACGTGGTTTGCTTAGGGGGCCACACCCGGAGCCTTTCACCTAAAGGTTTGATCCACAAGGCAGTGGAGCATCGTGAGGAGATGCAATCCCATGGTAGCCGGTGATCAACGATTGGTTCATACGCCATTTGTTACGTCAGGATACTAGAGCCCATGTGCACCATTGGTTTGGAATCAGGGTTTCCTAACTTTTCTAGGTGGACTTTCTGTGTCCACCCGCTAGGTTAAAGCGTCGGACATTCGCTTTTCATCCTCTCAATTTTGTAAACAACAGTAATGTCACGAGAAGGTAGTGAGTAAGACTTCCCTGACAGAGGCTATATACGCGAGGCCATGTGAGAGCATTTATAGAGCGAGAGTAGACCCTCCCCACTCCGCCGTAACAGGGCATTTGGGGGCCTAATATGTAAAGAGATCGGCGTGGTGTTTAAATAAGTGAATAAAAAATATTAATATTTTCACTTTTCATTTACAAAAGTTACTTTCTGATTGGCTAAAAAAAGTAGGTGAAACTTTGTTACGAATATTTTAAACCTCTTTCATTATTAGGATATTACACATACATTCATTAAAATGTACATTAATTAAAGAATAAGAGCACACAAATAACCTTGAAGAATTCATATTTTTTTAAAAATGACGAGACCAGAATAAAAATAGACGAACATCATAGAAACGTTAATCGTCTAATATCTACAGAATTAGTAATGATAAACATGTACAGTTTATTATTTTTCTGTGTGTGTGTGTGTGTGTACGTCCTTAAGAAAATATCACATCATGTTAATGATCAGACTATATATAATATACATATATAAATACTATAAGTCAGGTCAACTTGTTGATTTTTTTTATATAGTTGAAATCATTAGTCAATTGAAGCTAGACCACCACCATGGAAAATCTGGAAGCACTTGACGGCCGTTTCGTCCTATTGTCGGACTCCTCAACAGTGCACATCCACGATCCCGCCTCGCGAGATTCGAACACAGGACCTATCAGTTTCGCGTGCGAGCTAAATCTTTTGACATTGGAAGAGAGAAATACACTTCGATAAATAATAAGTTTGATTTATCATGGTATTTTCAATTATTATAATTTTAAACAAAAACACTGTATGAGATAATAATGTAGGTCACTACACTCTATAAGATTAATCAGTTTGTAAATTACTATGCATATTAATGAGATGATACATACATATAGATGAAGTCTAACATTATTTTAATGATGAATATATATTGAGACAGAATTAAAGTAAGTAAGAATATAATAATATGAAAAATGGAATATTGTTTAGACAGTTCAATTTCACGTGGAGATCAGTGAAGAAGTACGAATAAGATGTACTTGAAAGTAAAAAGATGAGGCCTGGTGATATTAAACAGTTTTGCAATTCAACATGTGTATTATTCAACTAGAACCCAGTAGTTCTAATATTTAAGCACTCACTATAAAACCTAAATATCTAGTGTTGGACTATGGTTGAGGTCGTAAGTGCGCCGATCAATGTCAGACTACCATTGGAAACCTGGAATCACTGAACGGTTGTTTTGTTCCAGTATGGGACTCCTGAGCAGCGCACATCTATTGTCACACACAAAAGGGCTCGAACCCAGGACCTTGGGTCTCTCAAGCGCGAACAATTAACCTCCAGACCATTGAGCCGGGATCTAACAGCATAAATGTTAACCAATACACAAAAATGCATGTCTTCCATTGGATACCGCTTCAGTGGTCTAGATATTAGGTTTTCGTGCGCGATAACGAAGGTTCTGGATTGCATTTCTGCGTGAAGAGTCGTGAATGCATACTACTGAGTAGTCCCACACTAGAAAAGAACGGTCATCCAGTGTTTCCAGATTTTCAATGGTGGTCTAGAGAGAGAGAGAGATTGAGGAATCGATATGGAGCAGTGACTTAATGGTACAGGGATTCACCTCGTAACCAATAGGTCCCAAGTCCGAGTTGTAGTCAACTTGTTTCGATCTAGTTAACCGAGTAGTATCGTTAACCCTAATATATAAAGTTGAGCTGAAAGCTGAGTACACAAATATATATTCGTTGAGTTACAAATTGATATTAACTGAAGGAAGTATTGAAAAACAAGGGAAACACAGGATTGTTATTTTATCTTAACAAAGGACATAACGATGCATGCCCATGACACCCTTTAATATCGACTGGAGAATAATCAAGTTACCGATCAAACATATTAACTTAAACTTATTGAGTTGAAGGGCACACATATTTATAACTTTAATCAATTCGTATAAAAGTACAACATTGTTTAATCTTATAACTGGTGGATATGTGATTCACGCCCATTGTTTATTATAATTACCAATATATTTCAAAGAAATAAACAACCCTTTATGTAAGATATTTATTGAGATTATAAGTTCAATGTAAGATTTTGAGCAAGGCGAGTCTCTTAGTTAAATTAATGACATAAATTTCTTTATCAAACTGGATTTTAACTAAATTGAGTTTATATTCATATTGTTATTATACGCAGTTATATTTATTATTATTTGAACACGTAAACATCGGTACAAGAAGGCACCAAATACATATGCGCCACATTTCATCATTCGATTTGCGTGTGAGGGTTAAAATACTATCCAGGTACTCAGATCGAAAAAGGTGGTTTTCTCAGGAGGCCAAGCCCTAGGCCTTCGGCCTAAAGATCTGATCCATAAGACGGTTGAGCAACGTTAGGAGATGCAGTTCCATGGTAGCCGGTGACCAGCAATAGGTTCGGCGAGACTATAATTTATGGACGACCTTTGAACGAATCTTAAGTGATCTTCAGAAATGTTAGCCAATAAGTAAACAGTCAGTATAGAGTAAAATATATTAAACAAAACCAAATAATGAAAGTGAATACACTTCTTTTATATGATCCAAAAACTTGTCAAGGTTAGAAAAAAATTCAAAGGTTCGAAAATCGTAATGCATAAGGTAGAGGAACTCATCCATATGGCTCCATAATAGTTGATCTCTGGAACCATGATCACAAAAACCCTCTCAGCCTCGACCAAATAGCTTAAATATTGTTTGTGTATACTCAGGTTGTGTAAGTTTATCATTTTTATTATGGATATGTCCCTACAATACTCATACCACTGAACAGCCGAAGCTTCAGTAACATCTGCGATGATTGCAGCCAATGCTACTGGTGCATTTATTATACACTTCGCAGCAATTATTATAACATGCCTTAGTCTCAATCTGGATAGAGCGATAAAGGTTCCTATTCTAGCAAACGTCTTCCTTCAATATATATTACAACGAAGGACAACATCACGGTAGTCTGCACAAGGTCTACAAGTCATTTATTACCCGCAATTACAAATACAGGAACTTCTTAGTAGTCTCATTTTTTTGTAGCGGCTTAATTGTCAATTCTTCTATATAATTCTCTGTGAACCCATCGTACATGAGCACCAGGTACTGAAATCAGCGCCGTCACCTTGAAATCCCTCAAACGCTTCTGATTGGCCAGTCCATAAATTATAATCTCGCCATAGGTTCATACATCTTTGTTCTCTTAGGATTCTAGAGCCTATGTGAACCATTGGTTTGAAATCAAAGATTTCCAATTCCACTAGATGGATCCTCTACATCCATCAACGTTGTTAAGGGATCGAACATTCGCTTTTCGTCCTCTCAATTTCATTAAACAATACCCCCGCTACGAGAAGGTAATGAGTATGACTGCCCTGATAGTTATATCCACAAACAACTAAATTCTTATAAAGATATGTAAACGTTGATGCATGCAAACAAGTAATTGTGTACACGAATAACTATAGTATCTTTATAGTAGGTCATAACAAAGTAAAATAAACCCAATTTCATGATACACAGTGAAAAATCAAGTATGCATGAAAATACAATTTAAAGATTTGTCATAACTTGAACCAGGGAATCATATGTACTGCATACTGTTAGCAAGTACAACTAAAAACTTAGTTTTAGTGAATAAGAAATGTTGTGTAAGGACTATCCTGTGTCAATATGTTAAGTTTAAAAGTAAGATTTCCAAATAATCTTTGAAGTTTTAAAACCTTAAGTAGACTGATGGGTGATGAATCCTATTCACAAATACAAAAGAAATTGTTACCTTCGTTTTCTTAAACGAAACTTGACTGTTTATCAGAATGGAAGTATATACTAAGTAACAAGTCAAATACATTCTTAGCCCCCGAATGCCCTGGTACGGCCGAGAGTCGAGAACCCGCTCCCCCTCCCAAATGCTCTTACATGGTCAAGCGAATATAGCCTCTGCCACACAAGTCCTACTCATTGCCTTCTCGTAGCATTTCTGTTGTTTACAAAATTGAGAGTACGAAAAGCGAATGTCCAGCGCTTTAACAGAGTTGGTGAACACGGAGGGTCCACCTATGAGAGTTGGAAATCCCTCATTCCAAACCAATGGCGCATATGAGCTGACTCCAGTATCCTGAAGGAATAAATGGCGTATGAATCAATCATTGATCACCGGCTACCATTTGACTGCATCTCCTTACGATGCTCCACTGCCTTGTGGATCAGACCTTTAGGTCAAAGGCTTGGGGTGTGGTCCCATAATAAAACCACCTGTTTCGGTTTGGGCACCTGGGTAGTATCATAGCCCTAACACAAATCAAATGAGATTTGTGTGGCGCATATGTATCTGGTCCCCCTTTTGTACCAATATTTATGTTTAAATAAATAAATAAGTACCTCAAAAAACGGGGAATTTAACACTCAAACATTTAGTAAGGATAAGGGACTAGGATATCCGCGATATTTTAATTGTTTATTAAGTGTGTGTGTACACAGAACTTTTGCTCATTTTTCTGTTCATTAAGTGAGTGAATGCTAGACATCAGATCATAGTTTTCGTTAGTGGTTTCATTTCAAACCGTAATTTTCATTATATCGATGACTTTTATTCTTCATATTAAGCTGCGCTACACTGATGCATTTATTGAAGTTGTGGATAACCCTAGTTTCTTGAAATGAAATATCTAGTGTGAATTATAATGTAATATGCGAAACCCATTCACTAAGTGGACAGACAAATGACTAGTAGAGGTGGATACAACAGACACATTGAACACTGAAAACCTTCCAGATAACCTCCGTCAACATGAGTAATATATATATTCATACACATTATATACCTCGTAAAATATGTAATTAATTAGTATCTTACTTTAGTCTCCGTTATTTTGCGATTTTTCTGCCAATCCCATATTGAAATTACATGATCCGTAGCTTCGTCAACTGCGCATAATTTAACTCCGCTATCCTATAGAAGTCAATAGTTTGATTAACAAAACGATAAATAAATACAAGCTAACAACGATAATACACAAAATGAAACTGAGTTATTACATCAATTTCTATTCACTCAACACGTCGCTATTGGTAAACGAAGTTGACATTCACTGCGGGACTCGAACCCAATGGGACGAAACGCGCATCCTGGACTCCACTACTAGCCACCATCTATCTTTGCTTAAAAATTATTTAGTTTTTCTGAGATAATAATACTTTGAAAAGAATTAAATCGTATTGATCATAATAAGTCGATCCAAACTGTAGTGTCAAGACAAATTATGCTATTATTCTAGCTTATGGATAGACCAATATATTCACTCTTATCAAGCTACATTTTCACCTTGTCAATTATTCGCTTATTAACCCTGACTGTTTTTATATAGTCGTATGTGTGTTAATTGCTTACTCTAGTCATTGTGTCTGTAATTTATTTTTTTCTGAATATAAATATTGAGTTACGCTTGATTAAATCCAGTTGGCTCTTTCGCCTTCTCCTTTGCACGTCAATTTATTTCGTTTCGTTTCCCTTCTCTGATTGTCTGTCCGGATCAATAAGTGTTAGATAAATCAGATGAATAGTAGAGTTTTAAATCTCAGATTAAGTGACAGCCTCTACCAAACAATATAACTTATCAATCAAACTCATCCAGTGATATTATAGGTCAGCCTGAAACAGTTTAAATACAGAAATGTCCAAACTTATGACGAACTGCTGAAAAGCGAATATCTGAATTCTTAATCTATTATCCTATTCTATGTCGATCAATTGGTAATACTTAGAAAACACGAAGAAATTATGGTCAGCAATTTTATTCATTATGATCATTATTCCATCAAACCTAAAACCAAACTGACCAGGCGAATGTACTTGATTTTGGTCATGTCGAGGTGTGAGGAGAGTGCGGGATTGTGGATGCGCACTACTGAGGAGTCCCATAATAGAACGAAACAGCCGTCCAGTGCTCCCAGATTTTCCATGGTAGTCTAGATTCAATTGACTCATGCTTTCGCCTATGAAAATTTCTTTATTCTCTTTCCAGAATAACAACAATAGAGTCATAATAACAATACAAAATAACAAAAGAGAAAAAAAACACAAAGAAAAGTAATAAATTAACTAACCGTTTTTGAAAAAGACAAACAACATACGGAACGTTCAAATTCGCCTAAACCTATAATTTTCAATGTTTTCAAATCGACTGAACTCCAAATTCGTACATGTGGCTAGATGTTTGTTTTTTTGTTTGTAAGTCGTTTAAGATAAAACAGGAAAAAATAAAGATGGTAAAAGATAATTAATCGTGGTGATGGTGACGATGATGATGATACTACAGTACCATCCTATATTAATATAGTTTTGAAACTAGAGCTTAGTGATGGGAACTGTTGTTGCTCCATATATAACATGTCTGAACCATATAAATCATGTTTATTTTATTTATTTATTTAAACACATAAATATTGGTACAAAACGGCACCAGATACATATGCACCGCATAAATCTCATTTGATTTGTATGAGGGCTGTGATACTACCCAGGTACCCAAACTAAAGCCTTCAACATAAAGGTCTGATCCACAAGACAATGAAGCATCGTGAGGAGATGCAATCCCATGGTAGCCGGTGACCAACGACTGATTCATAAGCCATAAGATCCTAGAGTTAGCCCATGTGCACCATTGGTTTGGAATCAGGGTTTTCAGACTCTCCTAGGTGGACTTTCCGTGTCCACCAACCCGGTTAACGTACTGGACATTCACTATTCGTCCTCTCAATTTCGTAAACAACAGTAATGTCACGAGAAGGCAGTAAGTAGGACTTCCCTATTAGAGGCTATATTCTCATGGCCATGTGAGAGCATTTTTCGAAAGATAGCGGACTCTCCCCACTCTCGGCCGTACCAGGGCATTCGGGGGCCTATGAATCATGACTACTAACAAAAAAGAACTTCATACAGCTTCTGAAATCTTATATTCACAATATATTATAAACCTCAAACAGTTACCGACAACATAACATCTGGATATATAATCTACCTTTTCTTAATTATTTTCTGCACTTATCAATATGAAATTATTTGACTAAAAAGGCCTTTTCAAACACGTTATGTAATTCCTAATAGAAATACATAACTGACATTAGGAAACTGAATGTTTGAGTTTTTGTAGTCAAATACTCGTGTCTTGTAATGGGTAATCTGTTAGAGAAGATATACAACATGTTGCTAAGTAACTATAAATAATCTAACAGTAACGATGACGATATCCAAAATATAGTTTAAGAAACTCTTTTCCTTCATAACATTCAAAAGTCCGGCCAAATACAATTCAATGTTCAATTGACAGTTTTCAGAAATTTTTTTTTACCATTTCCGTGTACAATTGACAGTACAGTTATGTGTGAGGATAGACATACTGTTTCAGTATTCTATGAAGTTGTGATATCTAGCATTTTCAAATATTTGTCTGTTCATTGGAAAGGCAGAAGTATAATTTATTGACAAATCACTAATAATAGCAACTATTGAAATTTTCCGACAAATTCAAAATATCATGACAGGAAATTTGGAACTTATTAAGAACTAAATTAGTGGAAGTTACTAAGGCACTTCAAATTTCATAAACGTCACAAAACTAGACAATTAGGGAAAAACTGGGCCAATAAAAGTAACCATCACTTCTGATATTTAATAAAAGTATGAAGTCCAGCATTCTCGAATATTTCCTCCGTTCACTTTGTTGGTCAGTGACACATGTAAGAACATAAATTTCACGAGGGAACCACTTTAATAGTTCGAAGTTATCTACATATAATTCCTGCAAACACACCACCGTAGCGCATTCCAGTTTGTCGAACAGGAAAAACTAATAAAATGAATGTCACGGCATTAGACGCAATTACTTACTTACGCCTGTTACCCCTCGTGTAGGAGCATAGGCCGCCCATCAGCACTCTCCATCCAACCCTGTCCTAAACAATCCTTTCCAGCTCTTTCCAGTTGTTATTCATTCTTTTCATATCTGCTTCTATTTCTCAGAGTAATGTGTTCTTTGGCCTTCCTCTATTCCGCTTTCCTTCCAGATTCCAAGTTAGGGCTGGTCTATTCAGCAGTTCATCGAAGTATTCTGCCCATCTTTTCCCCTGTTCTTGAATCTCCGAGATTATCTTTCCTTCTTTGTTCTTGACTGGTCTCTCCGGTTCGCTATATCTCGCTGCCAGTTTCTTCATTGTATCATATAGTTGTTTCATATTCCCATCTCTTGCAGCTTTTTTCGCCGTCGTTGCTAGTTCTCCCATGTATTTCTGCTTGTCGGCTTCAATGCTCTTCTTCACTTCCTTGTTTGATTCTGCGTAGTCTGCTTGTGCTTTGACTTTCTTTGTTCATGGCCGACTGTTGTTAATTGCTGTCTTCTTGTTCTTCCTTTCTTGAATCTTCTCTAGGGTTCTCATAGAGATCCATTCCTTATGATGATGCCTCTTAGGACCCAGAACCTCCTGAAACGTTGAATTTATTGCTTCTTTGATCCTTTTCCAGTTGTCCTCCAAAGTAGTTTCTTGTTCTTTTCAGTAGATCTTGTAAGGCTTGGAACCTGTTGTTGAGAGTTATCTTGAATTCGTTGAGGTTGCTAGTATCTCGAAGGAAGGCTGTATTTACCCTTTGTAATGCTGTTTGCCCAGTTGTACAGTGTTTTTTAGCCTCAGTTTCATCTTTGCCACAACCAGTTGGTGGCGATCTGAAGCTATGTCAGTTCCTCTCCTGGTTCTCACATCTTCCATTGTCCTTCGGAATTTTTTGTTGATACAAATATGATCTATCTGGTTCACTGTGGTGTAGTCTGGTGAAATCGATGTAGCTTTTTATATGTATTTGTGTGGAAATATTGTGCCACCTATAACCAATTTGTTGAACGCACATGTATTTGCAAATTTCTCCCTATTTTCATATCCGGTGTTGTCCAATCCGACTTTAGCATTTAGATCTCCCATCAGGATAGTGACCAGAGTACAGCGGCATCTTTATTGTATCTAGCATTTGCTGTCCAGTTTGAGTTGAATCGGTTTCGCTGATTCCAAGTACTGCCAGTCTGTATCTCCTCATTTCCATTGCTATTTAACTGGTCTTCCACGTCTCCCACATTGGCCGGACGTTCCATGCATCCATAGAAATTGTTGCGCTGGTTATTATAAGGGGCATCGGCCTCGTGACTTCCGAAATAATCTCGGCTTTCATCATGAGGCGTCATAATTATTTTTTTCTGATTGGCGTTTTTTAGCGAGTTAGTTTTCTACGGGATGGGGTCGCTAATCCCATGCCCAATCCTCCTCCTTTATCCAAGCACGGGACTTGCAGTCCCTAAAGTGTTCTGCCCATCGATCCAATCTCCTAGATTGAGAATGAATGATATGCCCATCTTTGTCTGAGATAGTTTCGCTAATAGTTGGGTTCCTAATGCCGGTTTCTTTAATAAGTCTGAATAGCTGTCTGCTGTTACCTACTGCCGCTGCCTTTTCTATCTCTCTTGCTTTCGCTACCCACCACTTTTCACGATCGTTGCGTAGGCTTCTTATTAGCCTTCGCTTAAGCTGACTCTGCCCTTCGTTATGCTCAGAGCCAGGTGGGATGAGTTTTCGAGCATCTATCAGTGTGGTAGATGCTGCCGAGATCCATTGTTTCTCCCTGACCTTATGGCTTACCTTTCTAGCGGATATCACTGCTGTTTCCGCAGCTTTACGGATGTCATTCCACGCTGCTTCGGGGTGGGCACAACTCACATGTCTGTCTAACTGTTTTTGCAGTTGTTCCTGAAATATATTCTTAGCTTGCTTATCATTAAGTAGAACCCTTAGAGGCTTCCCTGCAGTGTCTTTCCTACGTCCAGTAAGACGCAGACAGATACGTGCTTGCATTAGAGCATGATCTGAGTCTAGACATGTGCTCCAGAATGAGCGACAGTCTTCTATTGAGCCCCTCCATCGGTGGCTGATAGCGATGTGATCTAATTGGGTCCAACGTTGGGACGAATTCGGGGACTGGCAGTACCTCGAGAAGAGCTACAGGCGGAGACGAAATACCCAGTGGAAATTATACTCTTACATCCAGTATTCGCTCACTTAAATGAAAGGCTAAATGCTAGACATTTTACTTATAATGACAATTGAGATGCAAATGCGCTACAAACTTACGGACACATATCCCATCCTGTCAGTTAGTAAATATATTTTTAAAAAGCTCCCGAAATATGTTATAATTAAATATTGGTTCAATGTTTAGTACTAATTAGTTTCAACATTGACTTTCCAATGTTCCAAACACAAGCAGTCATTTATCAAGTGATTCGGTTACTCAATCATCATATTGGGTGATAAACAGATTCTACGGATTACCAAATTCTACGAAGCATGTACGTCATGTAATTATTTGTATTCAAAACATAAATACTTAGGTTAGTTAGGGATAAAAATGAAGTGTACTTGGTACACACACATATATATCAGTCCAAGTTGTTTCACATGAAAATTAGAGTAATCGCAGTAAAAGTAGTATTTCCAGTAACATTTCAAAAAAGAGAATATAATGCAAACGAACTAATAAGACTGAGAAGTATGAAATAATTGTTGTTTTCTGAGATCCAATACAACTATAACACGTAGGCTGAGACATTAAGTAGGTAAATGAATGACTTTTTTCATTAGATTATCTCATCTGCAAAAGCAAGCAATATGTCTATATTCCACCAGTCTAACGAAAAGTACTGCACATTTAAGAGGAGATAAAGAACAAACATATCTCACTCATTGTTACTGATTTTGAACAATGTTAGAGATAACGTCTTCCAAACGTCGATTACAATTATCTGGCTAACGTCATAACCTTAACATGGGAGCTCAGAGATGCATAGCACAACACAACCATCAATGACCTTAAGAACTGACTTCATGTCACTGATCATAGGTTGTACCTCTGATGTTAATCACCATTTCATAAAATGGGAATAAGGTGTTCTAGACATTTTATTCAATGATTAATTCGTAAATACGGCATACTATTACAAGAAACTCTACAAATCTGACTTCATCGGCATTACACATCCTTCGTGATAATATCATATAATTGGAAATTGACAGAAGAAGAAAATCAGTACTTACTTTTCCAAACTGTTTATCATGTCCAGCAGACTGACCAGTAGCCACAGTAATACGATCAGGATGGATGGCAATGCTATATTCAAAATAAAAATACAAGATAAAAATTGTATTCTACTCCCTTTTTTTGCTTACAGTAAGTAAACAGATTGACTGTTCTGTTTATAGATTTTTCCCGCTTATTCCCTATTTTTAAACTTATATATATGAACATTTTGGCAACATGCCAAGTCACAAAAATTCAGTAAAAAAGAAATGGAAGCTAAACACTAGTTTCAAAAAAAACTATTCAGAAAAGAAGAAAATCATTTTTCCCACAAATTTAAACTAATCTATGCATACTCAATCAATAAAACATACTAGTAATTGAGAAGTTCCTGTATGCAACAATACACTAGGAACTATACTAATTTATGTAAAAATAGTTCATGATCAATAAAAATAATATTGATGGTAATGATAGCAACAAAATGCCCTGATACGGTTGAGGGTGGGAAGATTCACCTCCCACTCTCTCCCTCCCTCTTGAATAATACTCTCACATGGCCACGAGCATACGACCACTACCAGACAAGTCCTATTCACTGCCTTCTAGCGACATTGCTTTTGTTTATGAAATTTAGAGGACGAAAAGCGAATTTCTGATCACTTAACAGAGTTGGTGGATGTAGAGGATCCACCTAGTGGAATTAGAAATCTATGATTCCAAATCAATGCTCCATACAGGTTCCATGATCTTCAAGGAACAAATGACGTATGAACCTATTGTTGGTCACCGGCTACCATGGGACTGAATCTCCTAACGTTGCTCCACTGCTTTATGGAATAGAACTCTAGGTGAAAGGTCTGAGGAGTGGTCTCCTAAGAAAATCACCTATTTCAGTTTGAGCAGCCGGATAGTATCTTAGCCCTCACACACAAATGGAATGATGAAGTATGGGGCATATATATTTGGTGCCTCCTTGTGACAATGTTTATATGTCTAAATAATTTAATAATAATCAATTTTCTATACCAAACACGACAAAACAAGAAATGATCAATGTTGAGCCTATAATATTAATAATGAATAGAGAACTAGTCATTCAAAAATAGGATCATAGGGTAGGTGTTTTCATATTTAATCGATCAATAGGACATTTTCCGTACCATTATTAAAGATATTTTTTACAGCTGTTATTCGATGAATTGTAACACAGTAGAATCATTGGATATATCGTAATTGAGGTCGAAGTACTTATGTTATTCATAAATATAATTTTTTTATTATCCTTATAAATTCTGAAAAGTCACCGGAGATCCTACAACGTCCTATCAGTCATTCCAGTAGCTTATTAGGGAATAAATACATCCGTATCTCAGTCTTTCTCATGATAGCACTATTCAATGTGATCCATTTTCATTCAACGCAACCATCATGACAAGTCTAATCAATTCATAATATTAACTTGTTTTCGATAAAGTTGTTTGATTATCTGAAAATGTTTTATGCTAGCTAGTACCTTACAACAAGAAATATATGGAGTCTTGAAAGAAATAATACTTTTTGTGAGTTTTGAATTCGTATTACTTAGTCCTACAATAAGATTAACAACTATTGAGCCTACTAATCCCATCTATCAGTAGACCTAAGTCTACGGTTTCATTCTGATTGCTAACAGATATTTAACATCAATTAAATTGGTAGTCATATAACAGCTTGGTTGTTGAAACTTGATCAGCATTAAAAACTAGACAAATATATGATTGCGCATCCACGATCTCGTATTCGCGAGATTCGAATCCAGAACCTACCAGTCTCGCGCCAGAGCACTTAACCGATAGACCAATGAGCCGGCATCCAATGGTGTTAATGTCTAACTTCAACTGATCCACAAAGTTGAGCAACCGTTCACTAATTGACTTCAGTGAGTTGATATCTAACAACAGACTTGGTGTGAACTCCACTGGTCACTGCTTCTCACTAGAACTCCTTGATTTACCTCTCAAAGTCAGTCACTAGTGAGTATATGATTATTATTATTATTATCAGAAGGGGTTTTGTGGAGATTTTGTATTTTCATAGTTGAAAGCGTGAGTCAATTGAAGCTAGACCACCATGGAAAACCTAAAAGCACTGGACGACCGTTTCGTCTTATTATGAGACTACTCCAGGTTTTCCATGGTGGTCTAGCTTCAATCGACTTACGCTTTCAACTGTGAAAATACTAAATCTCCACAAAACCCCTACTGAAAATATATGCATGGTCACTTTTTTAGTTGATCAATTAGTGTAAACTCAAATATCCTAGTTACAATCTCATTATAAAAAAAGATAATTACAGTAGAACATAAACAAATATAGAACCCTTATGAAAAATCAAACAAAAAAATACCGGCAAAAATTTCTTCCAAAAATCGATCAACAGAAAATTGGAGTACAATAGACATTGATTATTTAACAAAATTCATGTAACTGATCTTATATTTATGTGTATATATATCTAATGCATACCGGTTAACTGACACATTACACATGTACTTCATTCATGTTAAGTCTTTTAAATTACACCCATATTGTATTATAAACCATAATAGGCAAGATCAGTATAGTTCAATGTTACATATTAAATAAAAATGTATAAATTTTAAAAGAAAAATCTGATATATCTCTTAGTAAAACAAACAAGGTCATATTTTATACATGCACTATCTATGGTAAGCAACAAAGTACATAAAAAAAAAAGTAGAAATCAAATCATACTATTACTGAAGTGAAATTATGTAACAAGAAACATAAGCACACATAATACATATAAGCAAAGAATGAACAATACAAATATGTCCAATAATCAAAATGTTTACTTATTATACTAAAATCGAGTGTATATATATTTATCATAACCGCCCTTATTTTGATAGAAGATATTTATTAAAATTTAACTTTCTCATGTAACAATCACTAAGGTAACACACACATACACACCCCTTTGTATTTACTCTAAATGAAAAACAGTTTAAGAGTAAAATATAAATATCAGAGATAATTCAATGACGATAAATATAAACAATATGTTTACAAAGGTTTGTTAACCTTGTTGTTGTTGTTTTCGTTACATTAGTTGTGTCTAAAGTTCACTATAGTTGGATTGTCAATGCTTATACTTAAATAAAAGAATATTTACATTGATGGATCAGTGAGAAGTGACTAACATGCTGTTTGTCTAATCAAATTCTATTTATAATGTGATCATCTATCTAAATATTTGGAGATTACATACACTATATAAAAACTTTCGTCTAAATTAAAGCGAAGTTTCACAGTATTTGAGCGCCGAGTTGATGTAAGCATTAAATAGGAATAATATATTTGTAAAATCTCAGCGAATGAATTTGAAGTAAATCCAACATTTCGCCTGGCAATCTGGTCCAAGCCTTTTCGATATAATAAGCGATTGGAACTAGCAGATAGGAAACCCTCCTTCTTCGACCATAACATCAAAAGAATATTTTTTTATATAGTTGAAATCATGAATCAATTGAAGCTAGAGTACCATGGAAAACCTGGACGGCTATTTCGTACTATTGTGGGACTCCTCAGCAATGCGCATCTACTATCCTGCACCGCGAGATTCGAACCCAAGACCTATCAGTCTGGCACGCGAGCACTTAACCGATAGACCACTGAGCCGGCACCCGATGGTGTCGATGTCTAACTTCAACGAATCCACGAAATTGTTCATAAATAATGTCTTATTAATTTGGAATGTTTTATAGCAATTTCCATTATATTTTGTTCTCTAAGCTGGATAGTTTCAATTATAAATCGTTTATTACCATTCTATACGAACATTATCAGAATTTAGTTGATATCCAAATACGCTTTTCGGAGATGTCAAAATAAGCTGTTCTAATGATCTTTTCTTCAGGGGTCGTATTTGTCTTTAGGTATTTCTTCTAGACTTCCATGGATTGTTCTTTTTTTTGTCAGGATGACAATGTGATAAACTGACCTTTTCCTCGCAAGTTGAAACTACGTCAATATGGTTATTGATTACGCAAGGACTTGGATGATACCTTGCTAAGAAGTCTTTAGGAAAAGGAGCTACTAAATCGATCAACAGCACCATCCTTTCTCACTTGGTAGATAGTGAACATCATATCATAATAGAGGAAGCTTTCTCTGTTTTATATCAAGTTCCAAAAAACATACCTCAACAAGCTAGATTACGGTAACTCTACATAACCGAAGCCATCTGGATCAACTCCAGGAAACAGAACTTACGTATCTAGAAAAGGGATATCCAACCTCCATGTTTACCTTGGCCTACGACTGGAACATCGGATACCTAAACTGAATATTATAAACCTCTACCCTTTTTTATTACCTCTATCTTAATCTTTACATCCATCATTCCCAATTAGTTTATTGCAATTACCTTGATAACACCCCTCTTATTACATATTATATTCATACAACAATATTATTGATATCTTACTATTACCATTATTATCTCAATTGACAAGATGAAATCCTCCTACTATGTATCTTATTCACACGATTCTTCGCATTTTCATTATTGCTATCAAACTATTCCACTAATTGTGACTGGACAGTTTACTGCGAATCATCCTGACATTTATTAAATGAACTTTCTAAGTTGCAAACAACACAATTCTGAAGTACAGATGCAAACATTCAGTGTTTTTAACATATAACATTGTCCAATGCATGCCTTATTATGGCCTTTGTAAAATATAATTATGAAGCCTGATGATGAAGTTATTGAAAACAATTGTTCGCTCAAATATTCTTCATTTTTTGAATATTCTATGGGGATTTTCAAACTGCTGATTCCATTTCAGTTGAAGAAACAATGATAGACTCAGTTAAATACAAACTTACATAAGACTGAACCTAAAAATAGGTAAACAGAGCAAAACCAATCGATCAGAAGCTAATATCCCTAATTCCTAATCCCACATTACGATATCATGTGAACCCGTGAATATATACTGAAGAAGTCTCAAACAATGACGAAACAATCGTTTAATGTTGTCAGGTACCTAATAGTTCCCCACTCTTATCTCAACTAAAATCCCCTCTTAACTGAGACTCTATTTTATATTAGAATATTGATTTATTCAAAAAATTATAGTGGATAAGAAATATGAATGAATATTGAAACCAACTGCATATATATAAGAAATTCCGTCTAAATTAGAGCGAATAGTTTCACAGTATTTGAGCACTGAGTTGATGTAAAACATTAAATAGGAATAATGCTCATTTGTAAAATCTCAGCGAATGAATTTAAAGTCAATCCAACGTTTCGCTTGGCAATCTGATCCAAGCTTTTTCAAGGAATTATCAGATTGCCGGGCGAAACGTTGGAATTACTCCTACTGCATATATTTGGCAAAAATTATGAATGGAACTACATAACATAATCAGCACTACTAATATTGTATCATCGAATAAGCATTAACAACACATTCCAATTTAAGATATATTGTGACAAAAGCATTTGAAGAATATATATATATATATATATATAAACATAATCCACACTTGTTCATGTGATTAGATATACATATATGTTCTAGTGTATTGGTTTATTTATCATGTGATTCATTAAAACAACAATACAGGTCTACAAATCCTGTACTAGGTAATAATCAGGACAAGAGTATGGATTGTTCTACTTTATTTCACGATAATGGATATTATTTCAATTTTTACAAAAATATTGACGACTACAATACATTAACATGAAGTTATGAAGTGATCAATGTAGAGATTGGAACAGGTAGGTACATATTAAGTCGAAATGATATATCTATGAGATCTCATTCATTTACTTATTTATTTAAACACATAAATATTGGTACAAAGGGGCACCAGATACAAATGCGCCACACAAATCTCATTTGATTTGTGTAAGGGCTGTGATACTGCCCAGGTGCCCAAACCGGAACAGGTGGTTCGCTTAGGGGGACACACCCGGAGCCCTTGACCTAAACATTTGACCCACAAGGCAGTGGAGCATCGTGAGGAGATGCAGTCCCATGGTAGTCGGTGATCAACGATTGATTCATATGCCAATTGTTCCCTTAGGATACTGGAGGCCATGTGCACCATTGGTTTGGAATCAAGGTTTTCCAACTCCCCTAGGCAGACTTTCCATGTCCACTGACCCGGTTAAAGCGGCGGGCATTCGCTTTCCGTCCTCTCAATTTCGTAAACAACACCCGTGGTGAGAGAAGGCAGTGAGTAGGACTTCCCTGGTAGAGGCTATATACGCGTGGCCATGTGAGAGCATTTGGAGAAGGAGAGCGGACTCTCCCCACTCTCGACCGTATCAGGGCATACACTTCTACAATACTGAACAATAAAATGACCAAGAATTAATTATGTAATAGACCAACTATAAAATTTCATTATGCCAAATTGTTAAAAAAAAAATATATAACCAAACAAACTAACCGTAACCAACTTCCATACACACATGAGAAATCAATTATGAATAAAGGACAACGAACCACTTAAGCTTAATCACAATTTATAAAAGTATTAAATTTAAAAATAGAATTAAGGAAAAACATTATTTCATCTGTTTCCAGGAAAGAGAGAGACAGAGAGAAAAAAAAGAAAATTACCATACATTTTATTGATCAGCTCTTTTTATTTTATTGTTGAGATAGAAAATAAAACCGTTAGGTAGAGAGTCGCTATTTTCTAAATTTCTCTTTGGGTAAACTGTTATCTTTACGATTCATTAATTTAATTGATTTGATTTAATTCAGTTACTGAATGGTTACTGAATGGTTTGATTATAGTCAGCTCTGAATAATACTCTTTTACATAAGGGGGAGAGAGTATGTGATACTTTACTGTAGCTGACTAGGTTGAAGTGAAGCAATGTTTGAACCTATATTTCAATGAATTAAAAGTTAATTGATTTAACCATTAAGTAGCAGCTCAGTCAGTGAGTATGATAAATGAAAATGTCTTCTGTTTGGTTCCATAAGACAAAGTAACCAAGCAACGTAAAGTAATTGAAAACTAAGATGAAACAGTTGCGCAACTGCTCTTAGTATTTACTGTTTCTACAACTTATGTTAGTGTCTAGAAATCTCGATAGGGATTCATAAAGTTCAGTTAACCTTTGCCAACTTGCGCCACTTATGGAGTAGGTAAGATTTCCATGTAGAAAGAAAAAGGGGTATAATACGTAGTAATCTACTTTTCTCTAGTTTGTGACCGTGAAGCATAGTCTTTGAATGTAGAAAACATGCGTAGCCTATATGCTTTTGATTAAAGATGCCTTCTAAACATAGCTTGAGTTTCATAGAACTACCAATGAACCAGTAATTTCAAAAACATCAAATAAGCTGAGATTGTAGATCTTTATCCACTGAGATGGTTGACGCATATGTCACGAATGCCTAAACTCCAAATCCCTCAACATAACCTATCGTAACCTATGGAGACGTATATATGTGACATGCTCTACATTAATTGTGACTGAATGATTGAGAGCTGATATTCGTTCGTGTCAGAGCTCAATTTTAAATAACTTACCTACTGCTGTACTAAAGTATAATCTATGACTTTTTTGTATGAAACGTTTGATAAAACTACACTGATAACCAGAAATATACATATAGACCAGGTATACATTCGATTTCTTAGTAAATAAGTGACTGAATCTCTAGAAAATGCACAATTACAAAAAAAATCCGTGTGATGTAAACTATACAATTAAACAATCTTCATAGACCCCTATACTAATAACAATCATATGATCGTTAGTGTCTAATTTCAAAAAGTAATTCTAAAAGTTCTAGTAAGAAATAGTGATCAGTGAAGTTCAACCACACTAGGTATGAGGTAGTTACTGATCAAGGACATTGTAAGATGACTACGAAAAATGGCAAATTGATTAAATTTACACACGCAAGCCACTAAATTCCGACTTAAGGATCTATAGGCTAAATGCTCACCGCAAGACCTCAATATTTCAAGTACGATCCGCGAAAGGGGTTGTAGATGCCCAGTTGATGGAAAGCATACATGAACGAAACAACTGTTTATTATTTTCTAGTTTTCACGGATTGTTTAACTAACATCAGTCCGTAAAGCAAACCGTGAAATGTTCTGTTGATCAGCCCAGTGTAAGAGTATATAATTAACATAAACAAGGATTCTACAGCAAAACTGATTACTTGGAATAAATGAGTGGTCAGGTAAAGTAAAAATGAATAAATGTATTGAATAATAATTAGTATTTTCACAGTTGAGCTGGTGAGTCGATCTAAGCTAGACCATCATTGAAAACTTAGAATACCTGGATGGCCATTTTGTCCTGGTCCAAGACTCTTCAGCAATGCGCATCCACGAGCCTGCACGCGGGACTCTAACCCAGGACCATAAGTCACTTGTGTAAACACTTAACCTCTAGACTATTGAGCCTGCATCGACTCATGAGTTCAACTTTAAAAATACGACAAACTCCACAAATCCTGATACTGATAATAATTAGTAGATAGAAGGGATACACATAACATGTAGACTTCTAGTTACAAACACTTATGCACAATAACTTCTTTTCTTGGGTAAAAATACAATAAATTCATTTGCAATTCTAAGCTAATGTAATCTATTATTATATTGGCAGTAACTGATGTTGTTGTTATAACAGACCTCGAACTTATACACAAATTATAATAATAATGCGCAAGTCTATGATCTACCTGATAACAAAACACTAGTTGTTTAATCATTGAAAACGAAGAATTACTAGAAGTTTGTTTCATCTTGGTCCCCAAATGCCCTGGTACAGCTGATGGTGGAGTCAGCTCTCCCTATAGAAATGCTCTCACATGGCCACGCGCATACGGCCACTACCAGAGAAGTCCTGTTCACTGCCTTCTAGCGGCACTGTTTTTGTTTACGAAATTTAGATGACGAAAAGCGAATTTCTAATCAATTAACAGGGTTGATGGATGTTGAAGATCTACTTAGTGGAATTGGAAATCTCTGATTCAAAACCAATGGTGCACATAGGTTCCATGATCCTCAAGGAACAAATGATGTATAAACCTATTGTTGATCACTGGCTACCATGGGACTGCACCTCATAACGTTGCTCCACTGCTTTATGGAATAGAACTCTAGGTGAAAGGTCAGTGGATCGGTCTCTAAAGGAAACCACCTGCTTCGGTATGAGCACCCGGGAAGTATCACAGTCCACACACAAATCAAGCGGCTTGTGTGGTGCATATGTATTCGGTGCCCTTTTGTACCAATATTTATGTGTTCAAATAAATAAATAAACATCTTATTATAGAACTACTCAACAGTGCATATCCGAGATCCCTCCAGAGATTGCGCGCAGGACCTACAAGTCTCGCGGCGAACATTTAACCTATAGGCCATTGAACTGACATCATAGATGAAGATTGTTGGGGAGTGTCACACTAAAAGGGAAAACTTTTCAGTGCTCCTTAGTTTACGTTGGTTATCTAAGATAAGTCTATGACTTAAAGTACGAAATTAACTTTTTTTAACGGAAAAAATAATACATACCATTTTACATCGTCCGTATGTTCCAAATAATGTCTTTGACATTGCTCTTCAATATTATACAATACTACAACAGCTGCAACAAAATAAATCAACTCTCCAGTTGGAAGATAATGTAAATTATTTCGACAGTCTCGTCCACGATAACCATAACTAAGTAGAGATGATGATGATGATGTGACGAATTATTACGATGATAATTAAGGAAAATATTTTGGTTCAAATGATATTACGGTGAAAAATATACTTTGAAAAAAGAACATAAAGATCTTCACAAAACTCTTGTTTTAATACATAGTAATGATCATTTGTTCACTATTGAACTGATTTAGACAAAAATTCTCAAATTAGAAGTGAGATGTGACTAGCAGAGTTACAAATGTCATACAAGTAAAACCAATGGCAATAGACAATGGTTGTGTATAGGTATAGTGCTCACTGGAAGAACCTAAGATATTGGGATGGATTCTTGATGGAGATGTAATCGTCCACTGCTGAAGAGTCACTGATTAGAATGAAAATTTTTTTAGTGTTTCCTGGCCTTCAGTGATCGTCTAGCTACGGTCAGTCTATAATTTAAGTTGTACGATAAACGATGTTTTCGCCTAAGAAAATAATGAAGAACAGTTCAATTTATCATTACAGAGTCCTACTCTTGAGGTATAGAGACTCTTCAACTAACCGAGTGTTTTGTGTAAAAGAAGAACTAGCACATTTTTCGCCATCTAGTACTGAATGGGATAGGAATGGGTTGGAGGAAAACTAAGGACCTGCAAACAAAGATACAGCATCAGTCCATGAAGTTATTGGCCGTTGATTTGTGCAGTGGAGCATCGTGAGGAAATGAAGTTCCATGGCAGTCGGTGATCAACGATTGATTCGTACGCCATTTGTTCCTCCAGGATACTGAAGCCCATGTGCACCATTGCTTTGGAATCAGGGTTTTCCAACTCCCCTAGGTGGACTCGCCGTGTCCACCAACCCGGTTAAAGCGCCGGACATTCGCTTTTTGTCCTCTTGATTTTTGAAACAACACCCCCGCCACGAGAAGGCAGTGAGTAGGACTTCCCTGGCAGAGACTATATACGCGTGGCCATGTGAGGGCATTTGGAGAGGGAGAAATGAGATATTTACATTGATAACTTATCTAAGAATTTTCAAATGATAAAAGCTAATTTAAGTACTTCAGGACAATTTGACAAAGTGTAATAGTCTATGAAAGTAAATACATAAAAACAATTCACAAAAAGGATACATCCATTCCAATTTCAACGTCGTATCTGGTGCTTTCAATGGAATTGACAAATCATAATTTTGCATAATTTGTGTAGGCATATAAACATTGACTGGACGTCCACGAATATAAAATCGTAGAATTCCATCACCTGTTTTGCAAAAAAATTTTTAAAAAAATATGCCAAGTAAAACAGAATGGTAGGGGAGAAAATACAACAGGAAAATTGATAATTGTATCAGATTTGCAGAATAGGAGGATGTGTACTGATGAGGAGTTCCATACCAGTACGAAGTGACCGTCCATTTTTTCCACCTTATCAATGGTGGTTTAACTTAGATAGGTTAATGATTTTTATGAAACCCAAGAATCTCCATAACCTCATACTGACAGTTATCATGTACTCGCTAGTGACTAGCTTCGAGAGGAAATTTCCGGAGTTCTTATGAGAAGCCGTGACCAGTAGTGCTAGTCCGTATAGGGTTAGGCAGTTACCCATGAAAGAAAATGGAAGATGGTCGCTTAATGTCGTGGATTGACTGAGGTTAGATATCAACACCGTCGAATATCGATTCAATAGTTTAGAGGTTGAATGTTTGCGAACGACGCTGAAGGTCCTAAGTTTGAATCCCGCCTGCGGGTTCGTGGATGTACAATGCCAAGGTGTCCCATACTAAGACGAAACGGATGTGTACTGCTTCCAGGTTTCCAAAGGTTGAGCAATCTAACCCTGTATTTCAGTGAAATCGTATTATAAACTGATTACAATTGTAGAGCTAGTAAGGTTAACCAAAATGGACAGGAACAAATTCGTTCTTCTAGCTCAAAACTGTCTTAAAGTCCATGCGCATTCTTGATGTCTTGTATGGTCGTATATAGAACATCTATATCTAGCTGTTGGACTGCTAAAGTGTTGAACTCAAACTTTAAAGGAATGGTGTACTCTGATTACGATATCTTGAGTGAACTGATATCTCTGGTGAGAAATTAGAACTCATGTCACCCAGTGTGATAAAAGAAAATCATAAACATAGTCGTGACTGACCTCTTTTAGGACTAAGATATAATATTGACTGACTACTGAACAGTAGCCATTATTATGTGTGCCTAATCCTCACAGGTGATTAAATTTCAACCAAATGATCAATAGATTTAGAACAGCAATAAAGGCTGGACAAGCATGATATATTGATCAATTACAGTTGAAGATGAAAATTAGATTACAAATGATCAAGTGATTACATCTAAAAAACAACTTATTAAGCTAACATATGTACAATTCATCTGGTAGAAAACTAGATTTGGTATTTATTTTTTGACCGTTTAGTGTGTTTTTAAGTTTACCATTTTTAAAAACATTAACTATGCACCACATTGGTTTATAAAGGTGTAGTAGGCACACCTGAATCAATCTTTTCACGTGGAAACAATATCTCTCTTGGTAGACAGTTGTTCTTTTATTTCTACATTGGATATGATAAGCGAGTAAGTTCAAGAGGATTCAGTCGTCGTACATCGTTCACAGTGCTCATCATAGAAAAATATTCATGATAGGCAATTTAATAGTAACACAAAGATATCAAAGTGACAAATTTATTAACATGCAGAAATACAATAAGTAGTTAGACTACACATATAAGGACTCGAAACTGAGTGTAATAATAGTTTGGTGAATGGGACGGTCGACTAGTGAGGTCCGATTCCATCTCAATACACATCGGCTTAGTTATCCGAGTAATATTACTAGCCTTCTTCCATACATAAACAAACACCATAACCTGAAGCCGGATAAATAATCTTTAGTAAATGAATAGGATTTTTTTTTAAACTGAAACAAACCTAATTAAACTAAAAATACTACTAATTACCTGGTAAATAAGTAGTTTCCTTGGAGCTAAAAAGATTGATAAAAGAAAAGGGTAGAAAAAAAAAATTTTTTTTATAAATTATAGGTTTACCCAAATGACAATAAAGAACTGCAAATAAGTGATGAGAACTGAAAATAAAATGAAAAATGTTACGTAATTATACACAACGTATCTCCCTTTTCTATAAGTGCAATTATTAAATAGTAACCACATATATACAAAACACCAGTGTAGTAGTGTTAAACATTTAGTGTACTACAATTTATGTATGGTGAATAAAAAGTGTTGATCATTATGGAATGCTTATTATTGTTTTTTGATGGAATTTATGAAATAAGTGAGATGGGTTAGAGTCACAAAAAAATAATAATGATAACTAAAAGTATTAAATTAAAAATGCTTAAATCACATCAAACCATATTATAAGAATATGTGGTAGATGTTGACTTGCTCATCATCATGAAATTTGGGTATACATGATGGTTTGTTCATTGATTGAATCATTTCTCGATTTGCAGGACAAATTGCTACTCCACCAGGTTTCCAAGCAGTAGGATGAAGAGAACGACTAGTTGATGTTAAATGTACAGAACGATCATCTGAATCAGTAGCACAATAATAGGCTGAAGAAGATGGTCCAGAGGATTGACGACCACGACGAACAAGATTTGGTGGTATACATAAAGATGATGGTGGGAGAGCCGGTGGCGGTGGCGGTGGAGCAACGGTATGATTTTTTCGAAATGATGAAGATACAGATACAGAATGTTGTTGACCTGGAGGACTTTGACAATGATTCATTCGATATATATCATCTAATTCACCATCATAAGCTGATCTCCAAAATACTGTATAACCAGATGGTCCAGTAGAAGCTTCATAATATCGTGAAGATGTATTCGATTTTAAAGTGGATGATTTTTGTTGGTAAGTAATAGGTTCACTTTGTCGTGACATTATCATATCATTATATTCATACATAGATAAAGTTTTGTTATCCCTTTCATGTTTATTATTATTGAAATTATTAAATTGTCTATCCTCTGAACTAGCGCTAGTAATTCGATTTCGTCTAACCAATAATTAATAATAAACATAAATTTATATATACTACTAATACTACCACTACTTACTTAAACACTTGATAGTTATGTCAATAAAAAGGGTCACAGGTATACTAACTATGAAGAAGTTTCAAACTACATTAACAAATTAAAATTGCTATCTCTAATATTATTGATAATAGTGAGTGTTTTACAAGTTGCAGTGAGATTTTCCTCACAAAAGTACATCATTTCAGGAACTGTTCACTATTTATTTTATTTTATTTAAACACATAAATATTGGTACAAGGAAGCACCAGATATATATGCGCCTCACAAATCTCATTCGATTTGTGTGAGGACTGAGATACTGACCAGGTGCCCAGACCGAAGCAGGTGGTTTTCTTAGGGGACCACACTCGGAGCCTTTGACCGAAAGATCTAATCCACAAGGCAGTGGAGCATCGTGAGGAGATGCAGTCCCATGGTAGCCGTTGACCAACAACAGCTTCATTCGCCATTCGTTCCATCAGGATACTGGAGCCCATGTGCACCACTGGTTTGGAATCAGGGTTTTCCAACTCCCCTAGGTGGACCCTCCATGTCCACCAGCCCGGTTAAAGCGCCAGACATTCGCTTTTCGTTCTCTCACTTTCGTGAACAACACCCCCGCCACGAGAAGGCAGTGAGTAGGACTTCCCTGGAAGAGGCTATATATTCGCTGGCCATATGAGAGCATTTCGAGAGGGAGAGGTAACTCTCCCCATTCTTGGCCGTACAAGGGCATTTGGGGGCGCAGGAACTGTTCAATATCAAGGGACATTGAAATTACTGTTAAGGGACTCCCTTCATGAGGATTTATGAATACTACCAAAAACCCTACACATTTTCTGTCCGATTGCACAATCAGAACTAATATTGTGAAATCACATACATGATAACGTGTTACGTAGAGTAAAGCACAAACAATCAAACTATATAATAGTAAACTACAACATTACTCTTCCAAATAAACCTTATCATCTAGTGGAAACTGAATCTTAATAGATAACCAAGGAACCATTGACTAAAGTAGTCTCAGTGTGAAAAGTAACAATGAGACCGAAGTACATCTATCTGAACAGTCTTAAATAGGACAAAACACACCCCCTTGGTTTCATTTTTATTATTTATTTAAACACATAAATGTTGGTACAAGGAAGCACCAGATACATATGCGCCATACAAATCCCATTCGATTTGTGTGAGGACTGAGATACTGCCCAGGTGCCCAGACCGAAGCAGGTGGTTTTCTTAGGGGACCACACTCGGAGCCTTTGACCGAAAGATCTAATCCACAAGGTAGTGGAGCATCGTGAGATGCAGTCCCATGGTAGCCGTTGACCAACAACAGCTTCATTCGCCATTCGTTACATCAGGATGCTGGAGCCCATGTGCACCATTGGTTTGGAATCAGGGTTTTCCAACTCCCCTAGGTGGACCCTCCGTGTCCACCAACCCGGTTAAAGCGCCGGACATTCGCTTTTCGTCCTCTCACTTTCGTAAACAACACCCCCGCCACGAGAAGGCAGTGAGTAGGTCTCCCCTGGCAGAGGCTATATATTCGCTGGCCATGTGAGAGCATTTCGAGAGGGAGAGCAGGTTCTCCCCACTCTCGGCCGTACCAGGGCATTTGGGGTTTCATTACTATCTACTACCTTATTTTATTCAAATAATTGTGACTTCATGACAATATCAGGGCAATGTACTCAGGATCCATGTGTGCCAAAAAAGACTCATTGGTTACAGTCTTTAAAATCAGAAACGGGAAAATATAAACCGCATTTAGATGAAGTGGCAAATGAGTTTTAACAATCCAGCATACAAACAGAGGTTCGTGGAAGTACGAAGATGTTTTTGTGTGAAATATATCAATCGAATAAAGCGTTGATAATGTTAACCGGTAGGTTAAACTAGAGGGAGTGGAAGGTTAGTTTCCTCCCTCCCAATAGGTCAAAACTGTAGTAAACGATAAAATGGACAGAAAGAAGTATCTAAAAAAGGCGAATTGATCAGAAGTTTTTAATATTGTTTTAATTACCATCATCATAAAAAGTTTGTGACTTGAATCACAAACTGACTTTAAGCTAGACAATCGTTGAAAACTATAGGGCATTCAGACAGATATTTCATCCGAGTAGAAGACACCTAAAAGTTAGAAGATAACGCCCCTCCAACCGATTATAAAGGCCCTAAGAGTCCTGTCCATGATGCAGACATAGGTCCGCACTCCTGAAAGGGACTATATACTGATATGATAAATAATAACTTGTATTTATAATCTCAGTCATTTCACGATGTTGTACGACCACCATTCATTGTCATTGGTGATATTTATCACATCCCTAACATAGTTGAACTCTACTGGTCACGGCTCCTGACTAGAAGTTCAAGAACTACGTTTAGAAACTACTTACCAGAAAGTACATGATGATTGTAGTTTTGAATGTTACTAAATTTAAAGCTTCACATCACTGACTGAATACGACACCTAGTGAGGTGGTCGTGCTAAGGGGATTTCATACCAGAATAGGGCTGGAGTTAAAGTTGTCCAACTGAAGCCGGTTCATGAAATATCAACACAGATTCTTAGATAAACAAACAGTCAATTTCTATCAAGTAAACCAATAATCAATCAATCCAAAATAAATAAATAGGTGAATTCCACTGATTAACTGGTTAATAATATAATAACCAAATCATAATCAAAATAAATACCTTGTTTGATTTGTTGCACCACTAACACCAACCCCTTGATTATTTAAAGTAGTTGATGATGAACTTAATCGAACACTTTGAGGACTTTTTAAACGAGTTCTTGCTGTTGTACTCGCTGTTGTAGAATGTGGAACAACTAATGAACTGTCACGTGAATTTTTTGATTGATGACCAGTAGAAGTAGGATTACGAGAATTTGTATGTCGTCTTGATGAATAGGATGAATCAGTACGTGAATTAGTTTTAGTCACATTGGTGCCTATGAATAAATAAATAAGAAGAAGAAGAAAACAAAGAAAAGTGAATATTAAGCAAAGAAATATACATAAAGCTAACGATTGTTATCTGAGTGAGGGAAGATATGATAATGCGGAAATCAAATAGAATAATAATGTTCAATGTGTTACATAATACGCTGGTGTAGTAGTTTACAGGCATAGCATTACATAAAACGTATATATATGTACACATAGATATAATGGGAACGAACACATTGGTGTAGTAGTTCACATGCATCACATTATATGATTGAAGAAGTTTGTTAAAAAGTAATTTGCACGAAAATTATCCAATAACACAACTGATCAGATGAACAAACTAAGATGGATTAAACAGACACACACACGAACAGTACGTTCATTGTCAATAGACAACAGTTAACAATTGAATGAACAAACAAACAAAAAAGCAGGAACGAAAACTCTGTTAGCAAAAGATACCAACATAAAGAATTTAGACAAGCATAAATGTCTACAGTTAATAGCTGCTAATGAATAATGGTGGTGGTAATAAGAATAATAATAAATAGTGAGGTTACAAAACCAATTAACATGATATGATTATAACACAGCACAAAGTTAAAAGTACAGTAACCAGTAGTGTGTAACATCTTAATTCGGATGTTTTTATTAAATGGTGCCCAAGAGAAAGAAAGCACCACACCAACATTGCCTCCCCAAATGCCCTGGTACGGCTGAGAGTGGGGAGAGTTCGCTCTCCCTCTCCAAATGCTCTCATATGGCCACGTGTATATAGCCTCTGCCACACAAGTCCTACTCACTGCCTTCTCGTGATGGGGGTGTGATTCACGAAATTGAGAGGACGAAAAGCGAATGTCCGGCACTTTAACCGGGTTGGTGGACACGGAAAGTCCACCCAGGGGAGTTGGAAAAACCTCATTCCAAACCAATGGTGCACATGGGCTCCAGTATCCTGAGGAAACAAATGGCTTATAAACCAATCGTTGGTCACCGGCTACCATGGGACTGCATCTCTTCACGATACTCCACTGCCTTGTGGATCAGACATTTAGGTCAGAGGCTCCGGGTGTGGTCCCCTAAGAAAACCACCTGCTTCAGTTTGGGCACCTGGGCAGTATCACAGCCCTCACACAAATCGAATGAGATTTGTGCGGCGCATAGGTATTCGGTGCCCCTTTGTACCAATATTTATGTGTTCAAATAAATAATAAATAAACACCAACATTGCTACAACTTTAATCTGCATATAGTGTAATGTGTAAGTATGGAATTATGATGCTGACGAGTTCTATAAGGTAGATGGTTTAACTCTCTCTGTTAAGACAATGGTCTGGCCGCGGATGTACATTATTGATAAGTCGTATACTAGTATAAAGCACTTGTACAGCGTGTTCCTGGTTTTAAAAACTGTTCCCATACTGAAGGTATCGGTTTGTTATATAAACTAAAAAGTGAATATTTTCCACGAAAACCTCCTATGATAAGATCAATCAAAAATACATCCACGAAAAACTACACTAAGATTACTTTAGTAAGGGTATAATACAGGGACGAACTAAGAAAACAACGGTGACAAGTTTTCATCCACTTCTTAGCCCATCTGTGGTTATGTGGACAAACAAATTCTGCGTAAAAATCCAGGGAGCTTAACATTATTAGTTTGTCCATATAATATATTGCCGATAGGTTTATATTTATTTCATTATTAAGGGGTTATAATTAAAATATAGGAATATTGTTTATTTCCCCGTTATATATAATCTACATGGATACAATTAAGTATTCGATACATTTAGCATTATCCCTTTCATTCTATAGTGGTGAAAAATAACTTATTGTTATCACTTTAAACGTTTTGAGTAGCATACAAGGGTATTTCTACTCTCTCGCTATACATGATACTTAGATCTGGAGGCAAAATCACAAAAGTTACACTCTCAATCTTGCTTGGCTTATCCCTACACATTCATCTTGACTTCCATTTTACTATTTACTTTATAAGTAGGCATATATCCATGAGATACCAAAAATAGTAGCTTAAGAGTCATCAGTGAGAAATAAAGAACGAATCCGTTTCTAAGCATAAAGTTTATACTTCCAATATATTAAAATTGGAAATAATCAACTAGTCAGGTGTTTAATAATTTTCAGACAAAAATGTAGTCAATGTGTATTGTGTAACAAGTCAGTCAGTCAGCTACGACGTAGGACCAGGTACATTTATGCATCGGTCCAAGTTGCCATACCTCGTTAGCACAACAACGAATTAATAAATGTTTTTTGTAATGTCATTCATGTAACATATAAAAATCTGTACGTTTGACATGGATATGTACTTTAAATATGAAAGCTAGCGGACATTCATTTACCTAGTTATCAGGTACAGAATTATGTACTTGTTTTTAGGTCATGGTTTAAATATGAGAGTTAGAGATACTATCTAGTTGCGTAGACAGAAGTATTTGGAACGAGGTTTGAGCCTGAGATTTATTGACCGAAAGTAAAACACTTTAGCCGTTGATTCAAAAAGCTGAACCCAACTTAGGTGAGGTAAGCTTCGAATCACTCTAACTCTCATATGGTTGAAGCATGGGATATTTATAACCACTAAATCGCGACTTCATTGAGCAGATTTTTCTAACCGAATAACGAACCATCAGAAACAGAAAGAACTAGGTTATTAGGTAACATATATTCCACAGAATGCCCGCTGAAAAGTGATCAATGTCATGTTTTAATAATCCTACAGAATTAGTAAAATTCTATCGGTCTAGTTGCATTAATTTAAATGACTCAAGATTGCGTGCATTGTGTTTAAATGTTAGGTGGTTGGAGGTAATAGGCAGGAAACCCTGGACCTAGGTTTATTGCTAGTTCAACGGAATTCGATTAACACTAAAAGATTGGACAAATATGACGTTAGTCACTACTAAGCGTTCAATCAATTTTAGGTATTTCAGTTCTATAAAAAAGTCGCACCCATATGCCCCGGTACGGCCGAGAGTGGGAAGGGCCCACCCTCTCTCTCAAAATGCTCCCATACGGACAAGCGTATCAACCACCGACAGGGAAGTCCTACTCACTGCCTTCTCGTGGCGAGGGTGTGATTCACGAAATTGAGAGGACGAAAAGCGAATGTCCGGCACTTTAAACGGGTTGGTGGACACGGAAAGTCCACCCAGGGGAGTTGGAAAACCCTCATTCCAAACCAATGATGCACATGGGCTCCAGTATCCTGAGGGAACAAATGGCGTTCGGATCAACCGTTGGTCACCGGCTACCATGGGACTGCATCTCCTTACGATGCTCCACTGCCTTGTGGATCAGACATTTAGGTCAAAGGCTCCGAGTGTGGTCCCTTAAGTAAACCACCTGCTTCGGTCTGGGCACCCGGGCAGCATCATAGCCCCCACACGATTGTGTGGCGCATATATATCTGGTGCCCCCTTGTATCAATACCTACGTGTTCAAATAAATAAAACAGAATAAAAAGGCCAGCAGCAACCCGAACAGCCAGAGTGTGAAGCTGAGTGACATGAGTTGAAATTCCATAAGCAGTATAGTTCCGTCGAAATTGTAGATACGTTTTGATGATGAGTGCCAACTAACACGGAAGCTAGGTTGAGCAGAGTATCCTGAAGACCACCTACAGCCGTCTAGCAATCCTATATCAAACAGCCATCATCAGTGCCTAAGCAGCCATCTGATCTCTCTTTAGGTGTTATCTCAAGTAATCAAAATAACAAAATCCATTTCGTTACCTCGTATACCAGATGTAATTGAACAAATTAACAAGACCATTTATAGTTTACATTATCAACTAATCTTAGACAGCTATTGAAAGCCAGAAAGTACTGAACAACTATGACGTTCTTGTGTGGGACTCATCAGTGTACATTCAATACACCAATGGGGGTGAATCAATGACCAGTGGAGTTTAACCATGCCGAATATAAGGCAGCTGTTACCCGCCGATCCCACTGAAAGGTGGTTGTGCAATACTGCGAACTGGTTGAAGTTACTGATTCCGATCCTATGGGAAAGTGTGGGCGCTGATGAAGAGCCCCATACCAGGATCGAAAACAGTTATTGAGTACTTCCTGATAGTCTATGGTTGTTTTACTACGATCAATCTGTGTTGCACACTATGAAAATAAACGATCTTTACCAATTTCTTATAGTAATAATCCAAGGGTTATTAAAATGTTAATTTATTTTAGTGATCTCAACAATATGAATCAAAGGTATATATATAACCCTTGAAATTTATCCGATGGTCTATATCTCCAGTAAAAACTAAATGTTGCAAATACAAAGGAGAGAAAACAGAGAACACAAATAATGATGGTAACATAAACACCATTATCAACATTGAATTGTAACAGAGAGAAATTAAAAAAACACCAGCTACAATAAAACTATGTATAGATGAGTGCATGTACACGATTGTATACAATGAAATTCTTAGTAGCCACCATATTTCTACTGTAGAAATATATATACATATATATCATGCATAAGATTATAATATGCAATGAAAACCTGAGCAATACATAAAAGCCGACTGATACATATAGATATACATATATCCAGAGGGTTGAAAGAAATGATAATAGACATTAGCACACATACACACACACACACAAACACACATAGAAACAGAGAACATCAATATTATGTACACTTTTCAAACAAACAAAAATAATCATCAGATAAAACTGGAAATTATTAAAACGAAACAACAACGACAACAACAAAAAATGAGATGATTTTGTTTTACTGAAAAAGAATATAGAGAATGGATAAGAGAGAAGAGTATACACAATATAGTTTTTTTGTATCAGGTAATAAGGCTAAGCATCTATTATAATGACAATGTGCTTATTGATCATTTATTAAACTATATTAAAACAATCTAATACTAATAAACCTAGTATATTAATTCCAGTTTGCATATTTGGAACTCAAAACAACTGACTGTCAACCAACATCAAGATCAGAATTTTCAATACAAATGTCAAGACAGTTCTACTGTATGGGGCAGAGACGTGGAGAACTACGAAAGCCATCATCCAGAAGATACAAGTAATTATTAACAGTTGTCTACGCAAGATACTTCGGATCCGTTGGCCAGACACTATCAGCAACAAGCTACTGTGGGAGACAACAAACTAGATTCCAGCGGAGAAAGAAATCAGGAAGAAACGCTGGAAGTGGATTAGGCACACTTTTAGGGAATCACCCAATTGCGTCACAAGACAAGCCCACACATGGAATCTTGAAGGCCAAAGGAGAAAAGGAAGACCAAATAACACATTGCGCCGAGAAATGGAGACAGACATGAGAAGAATGAACAGAAAATGGATAGAATTAGAAAAGAAGGCCCATAACAGAGTGAGTTGGAGAATGCTGGTCGGCTGCCTATGCTCCATTGGGAGTAACAGGCGTAAGTAAGCAAGTAAGTATTTGTAAAAACTAAACAGAATTAAAGAGGCGGTAAGATTGAATTCTCAAAAGAAGACATAACAAAATGTCTTTGAACTAGAATGAAAAATAGAATTGAAATTTAGTTAGTTAAACTAATCTAATGCATGAAACATGAAAGATCGATAATTCTGCATAGATTGTCATTCAATTCTGAAGATTAGATTCGATAGTAATTTTCCTTAAAATCGGATTACATGTCAAAATAGGTGTTATATTCAAACGAAGGACAAATGAATAGTAACTGCTACGAATTA